TATGTCCTTTTATTCAAGTACAATAAGAGAGGGCAGTGGCAAGAGGGAACAAAATTTCCTTTAATCAACTTCCTCGATGGTAGGTCCAGAAGCGCTACCACCACCAGGAGCTCCACCAGGAGCAGCACCGCCAGCACCAGGGAAACCACCACCTGGCATACCGCCTGCTCCTTGGTACAATTTCGTGATGATGGGATTGCAGATAGACTCCAGTTCCTTCTGCTTATGCTCGTATTCCTCCTTATCAGCCAGCTGATTAGCGTCGAGCCATTTAATGATCTCATTGCATTTGTCTAGGACAAGTTGTTTGTCACTGGCGCTGATCTTATCTTTGAGCTTTTCATCCTCCGCAGTACTCTTGATGTTAAAGCAGTAAGACTCAAGACTGTTTTTAGCAGCAATGGTTTCCTTCTGTTTTTCATCTTCGCTACGATATTTCTCAGCTTCATTAACCATTCTCTCGATGTCTTCCTTACTAAGGCGTCCCTTATCGTTAGTAATGGTGATCTTATTCTCCTTGCCAGTAGATTTGTCCACGGCAGAAACATTAAGGATACCGTTGGCATCGATATCGAAGGTAACTTCGATCTGCGGTACACCTCGTGGTGCCGGTGGAATTCCACTAAGTTCGAATTTACCCAAGAGATTGTTGTCCTTGGTCATAGCACGTTCACCCTCGTATACTTGAATCAATACACCAGGTTGATTGTCGGCATAAGTAGTAAATGTTTGCGTTTGCTTGGTTGGAATAGTTGTATTTCTCTTGATAAGCGCCGTCATAACACCGCCAGCAGTTTCGATACCAAGGGACAATGGAGTAACGTCAAGGAGCAAAAGATCTTGAACCTCCTCGGACTTGTCTCCATGAAGGATGGCAGCTTGTACGGCCGCACCGTAGGCTACGGCCTCGTCGGGATTGATCGATTTGTTCAGTTCCTTGCCGTTGAAGAAGTCTTGTAAAAGTTTTTGAATTTTCGGAATACGCGTGGAACCACCGACGAGGACAATGTCATGAATTTGAGCCTTGTCCATCTTGGCATCGCGCAATGATTTTTCAACTGGTTCGAGAGTACTCCTGAAGAGATCCGCACAGAGTTCTTCGAAACGCGCCCTCGTTATGGAAGTATAGAAATCAATACCTTCATAGAGGGAATCGATCTCGATACTTGCTTGGGTCGATGATGAAAGAGTACGCTTCGCCCTTTCACAAGCTGTACGGAGACGGCGTAATGCACGCTTGTTGGAAGTAAGATCTTTTTTATATTTGCGCTTGAATTCTTGAACGAAATGGTTGACCATACGATTGTCGAAATCTTCACCGCCAAGATGAGTGTCACCTGCCGTGGACTTGACCTCGAAGATGCCATCTTCGATCGTCAGAATGGAGACATCGAAGGTGCCACCGCCAAGATCGAAAATAAGGACGTTACGCTCGCCCGATGCTTTTTTGTCTAGACCGTAAGCAATGGCGGCAGCGGTGGGCTCGTTGATGATACGCAATACGTTCAAGCCCGAGATGGTACCAGCGTCCTTGGTTGCCTGACGCTGCGAGTCGTTGAAGTAAGCTGGTACTGTGATTACAGCATTGGTGACGTTCTTTCCTAAATATGCCTCTGCAGTTTCCTTCATCTTCACAAGGACCATGGAACTTACTTCTTCTGGGAAGAAAGTCTTCGTCTCTCCTTTGTATTGAACTTGAATTTTGGGTTTGCCGCCTTCATTCACAACAGTGAATGGCCAGTGCTTCATATCGGTCTGGACAATAGGGTCTTCGAAACGGCGCCCAATCAGTCTTTTAGCATCTGTCAAAATTACAAAGAAAATCAGAATTTCTTCGACATTGTATTTAGGGTATTATAAAGGTAGAAAATTAACAATTGGACCTTTCATTTATTGATCCACAAAAAGAAATGATTTTATCTATTTTTATCTATTATTTTATATATATTTTTTTTATATTGAAGAAATTAAATTAATTAAAGTTTATGAAACTGTCATATTAACAAGTACGATTGTAAAAATGTGTAAAATTGATCGTGTTATCTGAAAGCGACGATCCATCGTTTATGCAACTTACCAAAGATGGTATTGTTCGGGTTCATAGCAACTTGATTCTTAGCAGCATCTCCGATGAGACGCTCGGTGTCGGTAAATGCAACATAACTGGGCGTAGTACGATTTCCTTGATCATTGGCGATGATTTCAACCTTTCCATGTTGGAATACACCAACGCAAGAGTAGGTTGTGCCAAGATCAATACCAACTGCGGGTGCTTTGGCCATTTTAGTTTTCTCTTATTTCTGAAATCACGAGGAAATATTTTTTCGATGAACATCTACTCTATTTCCTTTTTATTTTTAATAATGAAAAAATCATCAAATTTAAATCCACAATCTACCGCATTATATCGTTTAGCAGACAATAGAAAGTCACACTATATTAAACGTACCTTTTCTTTGTTTCCGAATATTAAAAATTTCTCGAAGGATAGTGAAGAAGTTCTCCACACGACGATTCGCAACGTGAGTGACGAATCCGCACCCTATCACCGTATATATTATTCGGGAAAGGACGCTTCTGGAATGTTCTTCCTGTTCTACTCGGATAATAGCCAATCAGCTTCGCGTTTATACGAGGGAGGTGATACGATTGGTCGACGTATCTACTACGTAACTCGAGGAAACAACCGTAGGAAGGATTATTGACCATCGATTAGCGATGTCTTAATATTATTTTCTTTCAGTATCGATCGTATATTTGGCAAAGAAAATATCATATCAATTTAATATTATCATTGAAAAATTATCTATTTATTTTTGGGACCTCGAATTGTGATGTTTTTCATCATTAAAATGAAGAATGACGCGGAAGTAATGCGGAAGGAAAGTTGGAGAAAAATCTAGCGGTTATTGCTAGAAGCTACCACGCGGGCGCAAACCGTTACGATATGTGATCACCGACAGATACACACACACACACACACATACACACACACACACACACACACACATTACTATAGTATGGATCGTCTCACCTTCAACCGTTTTTTTCCGCCATTTGCATCATTGATGAATCTATACTACCATATGAATTTCGTAGTAATAAAGAATCTCTACTATTTAAGTATTTGGCTTAATATATAGCGTGACCGAAAAATGTTAAATATTTTATCAGATATAAAAGATTTTCGATAATATTTTTTTCAATAAATGTAACAACATCATGAGTATTGATCAAATTATGATGATAATCGATAAACCTTCGATGTTTAATTGGAAAAATGCTGATTCAATGAGTCATTGAGTACGATAAGGTCATATCAAAATATAGAAGATAAAGATCATTTTCAATTCGTTTTAATTTCCTTCGTTCATTTTCTGCATGATCATCGTCGCTACACTCTCGTAGCATCTCGAAATACATGGAACGACATCGAATAATGTATTTCAAGTTTATTATAAGAAACTTTTTTTCTAATCGTCTCTTGCACACAAATCAAACGTGTGTAGTTCGATAGAATTCGTATTTGATTATGACGTAGCCAAAAAAAATTATATACATACGTTTGAAATTTATGTATACACGTACTATACACGTGTATCCCTATACGTAGATTACTCGACGTATTTTAATTTTAGTTTTTTTTTTTTTTTTTTTTTTTTTTTAAGACACCACGAAATGCGTCAGCAAATAGCACAGAGTAATTCGATACGAAAAGTTTGAATTAAAAACTCAATTAAATAACATCGGAAATATTGAAATTATAAATGTTTCTGATAGGATAAATCATGTCTAATGTTCGTATACGTCATAATCTTTGCAACTTAACTACACAGTCCGAACATGGTTATGTAAACTGGATAAGTATAAAATTAAGATTATTTTACAATTGTGTCGCATGATATCGATGCTATTCAATCGTAAATTATAATTATTTTATACAAATGAATTTTCCTTAGCGATTCTTCGTAATACAAAAACATAACCAAACAATATTGTATTTATACGTTTCTAATAACATACATATATACGTATGTATATACAAACGTACGTATATATACATATATATATATATATATATATATATATATATAAATATATATATATGCGTGTAATTAAGCTCGTAGTATTTTATCGGAATATGGCTTTAAATTTTCTTAAATAACGCAAAGTAACATATGTACATATGTAAGTACATACATCATACATAATATATACATTTATATCGACCGTGGTCAAGGTCATGACCAATGCCAAGTGAATATAACACAAGTCGTCAGGTTTCACAGCAAATAAAAGAAGAAACGCATAGAAGAGTAAATAAGAATATACAAAGAGTATAATAGAGATAAAAATAACATATCATGGTTTATGGTTCAATATACAAAGCAGAAAACACGTATATGAACTCATCAAAGATATGATGTTATTAAATAAATAAGTTTCCATGATTAACGTTATTTTAAATAGGCAATAAAGTATATATAACCTGTTAAATGAATCAAATTAAAATATGAATAAATATATTTGTAAATAGAGAATTATATTTGATGTAATATTGCAGTAAACGTATTTTGTCATTTATAGAAAAATTAGAAATAATATGTATTTATAATTGTTAATTCTGTTTTAATGATAATTCTGTTTTATCGACTGATCCGACGTAATTTGTTATAGTAGTTCGTCAAGAGTAAAACGAAGACGAGGGCGATACTTAAGCTTTGTGTTTTCGTTGTCAGTTCCAGACGATTTTATTTTTCCGTATTGGGTGTGTCGTAATATAATCTCGACGAAAATTATTCTCGATTATGTGTTATCTTTTTCTTATTCGATAAAAAAAATTAAACGTATTAACAGTTCAAGGAAGAATATAATAAAGTGACAAAAGGGTAAATAATATTGTTTTATTTACTTTCATCTAGATCAATAGACTCTTTCAATATATTTATCTTTTGATGTCATTCTCTGATAATTTTCTCTTGTCAATTCTTGGAGTAAAGAAAATAGCAATTAAATATTAAATGTCAAATTTTATTAAAACAATTACGTACAAAGATAATGTTGATTTGTGGAAGAATAAGAAATATCTTATAAAAGAGGCATTTAAATCAATGGATACAGATTCAGATGGTTATTTAGATTATCAAGAAGCTAAAACGGCAATGAAAGCTTTAGGATTGACAGTAAATAAGTCTTTTGTTTTGTCAGTTATTCGCATGTATGATAAACGTGGTGACGATAAAATTAGTTTCGATGATTTTTATTATGTTGGTTTGTATAATTATACATTGTAATAGCTTTGTTAACTAGTACATACACATTAGATATATCAACTAATTTTCTTTCAAATTATTAGTATTTGAAAAGTTAAAAATACAAGATCCTATTGATCATGTTAAATATGCATTCAAGATATTTACTGCAGAATCTTCGATTGAAAAAATCAGATTGGAAGATTTACAAAGAATTAATAGTAAAATTGATTCTAATCTGACGCTTGATGAGATGAAACTTATGATCAAAGAATTTGATAAAAATGAGGATGATTCTAGTAAAACCATTATATTATATATCCTTTTTATAAAATTTATCAATTAAAAAAATTTTAACAATTTATGGAGTTAAAAATCTTCTGCATTATTTTTATTTTTTATCATTGTAGTCGATGAAGCTGAATTCATAGAAATGATGACCGAATCAGAAAATTAATATAAATTTGTAGAAAATTATATGAGAGGCTACATTCGTTTCGTCGATTAAAATGCATTCTCAAATTAATTGGGACGCAGAGCATCGTCGTACATTACTTGAGACTAATGCTACTTTGGAACGTACAACGCAATCACTGACAAGGTCACACATAATTGCAACTGAAAGTGAGCAAATAGGGACTGAAGTAATATCGGAATTAGCAGGGCAAAGTGAGCGTCTGTTACGAGCAAAAAGAAGATTATCCCAAACTGATGAAGAACTTAATAAAACACGGAGGATTTTGAATAGAATGAAAATAGGAGTGTTAACTAATAAGTTTGTATTATTGCTTATTATAGTGTTAGAAATAGTTATACTTGGTATAACTGTTTATTTAAAATTTTTTTATCGAAAATAATATTAACGATTTAACGTTTAAGAGAATATTTAACTTGTTAAATTCTTACGTATTTTGAATCATTTTTTATTGTAAATAAATTATGATTGAAAATATTTTTCAAAATAAATTATGGATTTGAATAATTTTCTGAACCTTCGAGTGCCATCTTCCGGTTAAATGGTCGAACTTCCAAGTACATCGTCGATGATAAGCTACATCGATATGTATATCTATATATATATATATATATATATATATATATATATATATGAATGAAAAATATTCCTACTTGTAGCGTTGTATAGGCTAAAGCAAGTAGAGATGGCGCTGGTGAATGTCCTGAAAAAAGAGGGTGTGATCTTTCTCTTATTTATTTTACATTTATAGACTAATAGTGACAATTACAGGTGACTGTTCGTCGATGTTATTCGATAAAGATAGTTAAATAGATATGAGAAGTTAACATTGTCGATACAGTAACTCTATTAAATCTTTGCACTTCAAGTAAGTTTAATTTTTTGTGATACAGTATACAAGACTTTAGTCCAAATTAATTTATATTTTCAGTGTTTTTATAATGCATATGTGTTAATTAATTGTACTAACACGTATATAATTAAAATACAAATGTAATGGGATATATATATATATAATGTATTGAAATTTTATGTGATATTGTAAGCGTAATATTTTTAATTAATGTATATTAAAAACATCATAAGAAATTCTTCTTTGATAATTAAATTAATTTTACAAAAAAAGAAATCTATTATAATTTGTGTTTTTTTTTTGTAATTATAAATGAAGATTTGTTTTCTTCTCTTTTTATGTTACAAATATATTTTGCGATAAAATTTTGATAGATTTGTAAGAGTGAAAAGTAATGAATATGCGAAAAAAGAAAAAAAAAAAATACCAGTTGTGTAATTATGAAGAGAAGCATTTGAAGAAGTTGACACCTGTTCTAGTATCATGGAGCTACAACAAAATGATCAAAGTGAAGATACAACTGCCATGGAGCATCTTCAGTTTGATTTAGAGATGGATGCTATTACTGAGACAGCTGTGTTTTATTCTACTCCACGAAAATCCCTTCGGGGTAGACGAAAAAAAACAATGGATGGCAGATCTCAATTGCAAACTTCTTTGTTAAAATCGAATTATAGCACTAACGCAGAACAAAAAATAGCTCCAAAATATCGGCCTATATGGCCAAAGCCTTATCAACCAAGTTTTTTAAATAAGCCAAAAATATTTGGTTTACCTTCCACAATGAATGAATTTTCTGCACTAAATTCTGCGAGTCGAATTATTGTTACAACCACTATGCCATCCAAGGAAAAAATACAGGATTGTACGACATTGAGCAAGCCTAATAAGAGAACACGTAATTATTCAAAATCCATAACAGGAAATTCTAACAGCTTGAAATTATTAACGAAAGAAAATGGTAATGAAAAAAATAATAATAAAAACAATGCTACTTCACGGAAAGAGTTTAGTTTCATTAAAATGCAAGATAGAGATAACAAAGGTAGCATTGAGTTATTTTTTGAAAGTATGGCACAGACTGTTCTTAGTTTACCCATGCATGTCCAAGCTGAAATTAAAATGGAAATTTGTAAACTTGTTACAATGGCAGAAATCAAATATTCTTCGACTCAATCAAAACATGACTGTAAAATAGATTGACATAAATAAGGTAAAAAGATTCTTTTTACCTTACTTATTAAAACTTTAGGTACTATTTTAAATAGCTTAAATGTTATTTGAAATGTTAAGTTAATATCTATATAAATAATGTTTAAAGTGAATGTAATGTACATAAAATATAATAAGAGTATTATTCTAAATCATGACATTTTATTTTAAAGAAGAAAGTAAAAAAAAAAAAGATAAAAACTGCAGAAAATACAAGTTCCCAAGATAAACTATATAATATGTTGTTGTATATAGTGCCAACCTAATGAGAGTTGGTTGAATTTTTCATTTAATACAAAATATGATGTGCATACTATGAACATTAAGACACAATGATATATAATAACGTATTAAAATAAATATGCGCTTCCTTGAAAAATTAATATCAATATATAAAAATGTCACGACAGTGTACATTTGTAGAATACTAACATCGTTTTTTATTTTTTTATATTCCTAATAATAAGAGAATTTGTATATTTGCATTCAAAGAATAGTCAAGGAAACAGAAGCATTTTTTTACAACTCTATAGTTGCAGTTGATTAGTGTATATGTATATATATATATATATATATATATATAGATGGGTAGATATATATATATATATACACTAATCGTAATTTACGAGAGAGACTTAATTGGAAAATTGCTAGAATGAACTTTATTTAGAAAAATCGTAATTACTGCGGGAATGTTTTTCTTCTGTCATAGATATCAATGAACAATTTGATGTGAAACAAAGATTGGGACATACCTTCGCTTAACTTTAGTGTATTTTTATGCATTGTGTAATATAATGTCAAATATAAATAAATATGAGTATTATAAAGCATTTTAAGAAACTGGGTTTATACATGAATCCAGTTAGGCTGTTGTATGTAACGATACAAGATATATGTTGTAGAGCTTAGAGAAACATAAATTTCAATGAATTTAATATCTTCTTTAGGAAATTCGTCTTACAGCAAATTGGCTATTTAAAAGTTGCGAGGCCAGAGAGGTGAGAGCACATGAACTACTTTCTTTGGGATTTCTTAATAAAGAATTTGTAAATCTTTGTAAAATAATAAAAGGAATAGAGATATTTAAACTGATGCACATGATATGATTGTAATTAAATTTATAATGATCAAAAGAGTCAAGCTTAAAAATTATTCATAAAATACTTAAAAAAGAATGTTACTTCTCACAGCCTTAAATACAATTGGCTCTTAAACAAGTAACAGAGTTATTGATAAGATTTTGCACGTATAGCATAATAACGTACGACGTAATAAAGTCATATAAGTACATACACAATAAGTGATCTAACGAAGCAATAACCTGTTACATAAAGAGAAATTGTGAAAATTAAACACGTATAAAGAGTGGCAAGGTGGTATTCAGCTAAATGCATGGTATTGACTTACTACATTCTTATATTATGTCAATTCGAATAATGGCAATAAGTACGAATATAAATGCAATCGTAAATTTTGACACTTATCGGTGATACGATCATGTTTTGTCCAATACTCGTCACTGTGTTCACAAAAAAGAGTGCCTGAGACTTCCTTCTCTTACATGCATATATTGACATTTCTATTCTTTCTTTTTTTTTGCTTTTTTTTTCAATTTTTATTTTATTTATATTTTTTATTTATTTTAGATGAAGTAATGCAAAAGCATGTAATGGCGAAATCTAATAGTAAAACTGGATTTGTAATGAATTTGACAAATGTATAAACTCAGTTCGAAAATGGAATTGTAACATTTTCTAAAGCCATTTTTGCTTGTATTTGCTACTCTTACATGAACGGTGACCGGCTATTTCTTGAATATATAAGTGAACGTAATAACGATGAAGGTAGAAGACACTAAGGGCGCAAGCCTTATTTTCTCTTGTAACACTGTTGAAGCAATATGTTAATTATTTCATTCTTCTTTTTCTGCTTTTTCAACATCTTGTTTCTCTTCCCCATCTATTTGCGTGTCTCCTTCGAATTTCGGCCCAGGTGCTTCGTCACCTTCTAAAACAATTTCTTCTGGATCCGGTGCACGAGGTAAGAAATCATCATCGGGATACATGGATTTGAAAATTTCCTTTGCCTATAAAAAAGAAAAAAAAAAAAAAAGAAAAAAAAAAAAGAACGTATATGTAATAATAATAATATATATATATAAATATATATATATTATTACGAGTTGTTCATTAAACATACTTGATCAACTGCAAAATCAAAATCTAATTCCAAATCCGGTCCAGAGCACAAGTATATGTTACTCGGTGCTGTATCATTTAATTTTATGTCGCTCGCAGGTAGATTCAAGTATAATGACCATAATATTTGAGGTTTTAAATCTACTTCATTTGGTTCATAATCCTGCTGATTACCTTCCTGATGAAGAAATCGTTAAATACTTAGTTTGGATTTATGCTTTTACTAATATATATATATATTTTTTTTTTCCTGTTAAACCTAAGCTGCTTCGTTCGTATAGAATACTCTTAGGATGTTTATTACCTGTAGATGTCGTTTATCAGGTGAAACTGTCTGAGTATGAGAATCTGTAGAATTACGGGCAAGACTTGGTTCTACCATTTCAGATCTTAAAAATTTCTTTACCATATATGCTAAATCTTCCTTTGCGGTTTTAGTACGTTTGCATGTCATATGAACCATAACTAATGAAATATAACAATATATTAAAATATTAAATAATGAGAGAAACGATGAATTAAGATATATATATATATATATATGATCATTTCGAATTATTACAAAATACTTACATAAACCTTGTGGACAAGCATTAGTAGATGGTCCCAGTTCGATCAAAGTAACAGGTTCTTGTCCTGGTTCTTCCGGTGGATAGTACAAAAGGGTTAAGTTCTCTTTTTCTCCTTGCATAATTGACCTATCGAGTAAATAAAAATATTCAATTGATGAGTCTTTGTAAATTTATAAAAAATTATAAATAAATCATACCTATCTGTAATAAAAATGCCTCGAGAAATCTGCTGTTCTCCCTCAAAAGCTACAATTTCTGGTGGTAAGTGTCCTTGTCCTACCACTAAATGTTCCAAAGCCAATCTCTGTTTTCCAGTTATAATAGCTTTGCATTTATCTTCATTAATTACTACACCATCCAATTGTCTTTTCAAGCAATACACACCGCCAAATACAGCACATAATCTGGAAATTTTAATAAATTTTTAATTTCACTCATTTTTATGAGCACCACCATGCTCTTCCAATATTTTAATAATATTACCTGCAGAAACACTGAGGTAATTCTCCACTACCATACATAGGCCATAAGAAAGGAGTGTTTCCATAACGTCCAAGGCTATTAAGGAAATGCTTTGTGCGATTAACACCATCTCTGCAAGATGTTTTGTCTGTTACCATTGCAATAGCCTGTACAACATAATGTTGTACAATGGGGGTAAGATCTTTTGTGTTAAGGTACTCTAAAAATGTTTTATCGCGGAAACCTGTTGGGAGAAAATATATTTAATGAACAATTATATAAAACACTTTATGTATCGTATATTACATCACATTCTTTATATAAACAGAAATCAGATATCATTTGGAATTAAAAATTATTTATAAATGGATTTACTTTCTAAAGAGCATCAAAGCTATATCATACTCCCTTACACTGTTAAGAATATTAAGTAGCCATATCAGTTACTTAGTGATTCAATATATCACAAGTGGAATACAAAGTAAATCATTTTTATAATAATGCTACTGAATATTCTACGTATGATGTTATGAATCAGCAAATAAAACAAATTCAAAGAAGCATTTGTATTGTAGCCATGTTTGTTGGGGAAAAGAAAAAAAAAAATTACCATCAAACTCTGGACTATCAGCTCCTTGTTCCATGCAAGAAGTTAAAAGTTGCATTAACATTCTTTTCTCCACGACGCTAACAGTTTTGTTAGCAAATACATCGGCACGTGAGCAAGGGACTTGAGTTAATTTGCCATCCATATATGTGGCAACTCTGGATACTGCACGAAATTCTGCATAACGTGCTATATTGCTAGAGATCAGCAATTCGACCAATTTACCACGTGCGAATAGAAGCTGTCATAAGGAAAAGTATTGGTGAGTAAAAAATTATATAACAATCTTATTTTTATATCAAAGAGATTCCTATTTATAATATAAATATACTTTTGGTGCCAAGTCGATGTTGAATCTTCTGTATTCTTTTTTTATACGATCTATACTCCAATGTTTGACAATTTCTTTTTTCTCAGTGTTGTCCTCATCAGTTTTTTCTGTGCCTTCGTTATTGGCACTATCCCCAATTCCATCTGTCTGAGTATCTTTTGAGGATAGAACAGGTAGATCTGCATCACTTAATACAAAATTTAAATTATACATAGAAAAGTGGAATACATTTTTATACATTATAAAGAAATAATACTGGATCATGTATAAGCATACTTTGAAATATACCAAGTTTCTTCGATATTCTCAACGGCAGAATATTGATCACTAGCCTTTAAAAATATTTGTCCATCTTCTAAATCAATTTTTGCATCTCTTGTATTATTCTTGGCAGTCTTTAGATCTTCTATCCATTTTTGTAAACCATCAAAATTAAATGTAGCCCAAAGTCCACCATAATATTCGTTGCTATTTATATGAATTATATAAAAATTATTAATATATTGGTTTGCAGGTGTTCAAAGAAATATTTCATAAATATGTGATGAATATATGATATATAATTGTAAAAAATTGGAAAAATGTTGGAAAGTAAAAATGAGATTGAAAAAAAAAAAAAAAAAAAAAAAAAGAAAAAAGGGATATTATATGCATAAAAGAATAAATGATAATAAATTTTGTCGTATAGATATATATATATATATACGCATATATATATATATATATATATATACGCATACATATATATATATATATAAATACACGTATGCGTATCGCGAAAGATCGAGAAAAATCAAAGCGTTCCATGTAATCTATAAAATAATCTGTAAGGCGATATTCGGCCGCACGAGCGTTACGCGGAAAGGACATTCATTGATAGAGCGTCAAAGGAGTATCCGACGACGCACCTGTCCAGATGTAAAACCTTTTTCCCTATCCTGCTGGCCGCCGCGGCAACGATCGATTCCGTCATACCTGTCAAAAGTCATTATGCCGGTTCAGGAAGGGAGGGTTATGAAAATTCTATATAAAATTGTATGGTCAGATAAAAAAATCAATACCTGTTCCTACAACGACCACATCGTACTCGGTCGGCAGATCGTCCTCCATGATTTCCTCTTGTCAAATTCGAAACGTACGCGATGAAGAATAGAGATAAGGAATGCCTGCTGAGAGGTAAAAAACGAGCGGACGTAGAAGTCAATTCATTTTGTCGAAGAACGCCGATGTCAAAATTCTTAGACAGCCCCGCCCCGCGCCTTTTTTAACACACCAAATGAACTCTCACTCTTCTCCTTTCTCTCGAAAAGTACACAGCACACCATACGGTTTCTACTGGTTTCTTCTAATGGAGGCTCCCCGAAGCTCCCTACGTGTACTTACTCCGAACGAGAGACACCGTATATATCTATATCGAGCGGAAAGAACAAGGAATGACGTATTGTCTATCTCTTTTATGACGTCTAATTATTGCGCATGCGTCCCTGTTGCTGACCGCGTCTCCGTTGCGTTATTGAAACGAACTAATGCACCTATCGAAACGCTCTGCGAAACTCCCAAAGGTGAGATCGTATTATCGCCGTACCAATCACGACAAAGGATTCTCTTATCACAATTTTATCGAATATGATCGATAAATTTAGATAATAATAATAATGTAACGTTACTTTTTATGACCAATCTTGATTGTTTTGCATTATTTTGCATTTTTCGTAATGCATTTTACTATCTCGTTTTTACCTTCATTCGATAATGATACATCAAATATATACTTGTGGTAAGTAGTTTAAATACATGCGATTTTACCTACCGAGAACTTTTACAAATTACTTTCGTTTACGTCGATAATGCAGTGTTCGGGTAACGTATTCGTAATTACTGGGGATCGGTCATTATGTAAACTGACATTGTCGGTAAGAGAAAATTGGTCGGTAATTAATGATAATTCAAAAGATAAAACAGATTGAAAAATTGTAATATAAATAATTTTCAGAGACTATCACTTTCAACATATCTGTAATATAGATAACAGAGGACTATATCTGAGAAAATAATAGAAATTTCTATTCTAGTTAAACTTTTATTAAGTTTTTGCCGCTTTTGAAATTATTTTTCATATTTTTGTTTTCATAAGGAAAATTTCAATCACTGGAGTAGAAGAAAAATGATATTCGAAGGGTATACGAATCACTAACCAATATTTAATCAATTTTACAAGGGAATATTATTCTCCGGACAAATCAAGGACATATGTAGCAATTGCCAAGGGGTTGCTGTACCCATACATATACACATATTTATATACGTATACATGAACAGTGACAAGAATGTACTTCTACCCTCTTGTTTTTGTACGGATCTAACACGCTTGACCATCTATATTTATACATTGGCGTATTTTATTCGTTTACAATATACAATAAATATTTGTGTATATTAAGTATTGGATTAAATATATTCTTCATTTAGTACATCTATTATCTCATTATATCACAAGCAAGAGATGAGCTTAAAATATCGTTAAAATTATTATTCTAATCAAGAAAGATAAAACTCATAGAAATTATATGTGACAAATTATCTTTAAGGATATTAAGAGTTTTTAATTTTTTTAATTAATATACGAAAAATATATATTAATTTTATTAATAATACATATTTATTAAGATTTTTTATTATCAAATTATGGATAAACGACTACGCCAATGAATAGATTCTGCAACGATGTATGGCAACGTGTCGCACACGTTCCGTGAACTCAGAAATCCCTTGGGATAGAATTCAGGAAAAAGAGGGTAGAATAATTCTCTACTGTCGTGAGAACAAGTGGAATACAAGTGTCGCACAGGTTCCTAGTCTCGACCCAAATAAAATCGTCTAGCGTAGACAACAGCGTAAGGTTTTCCATATCACGGATACCTATGATATCTTTCAAGAAATATTTGGAGAAAATATTTCGTTCAATGAAGACAGACGAAGTAATTATCAAGAAATTATTCATCTGTTAATAAGAGTTTTTTTTTTTTTTTTTAATATTACAAGTAAATATAATAATAAATGTATAGGTATACACATAAAAAATGAAATAACGTTGAATATATACATTTACTATTAAAAAGAACAATGAAATTGGTCGTATTTATCGAACGAAAAGTTGCCGACGGTAGCTGATTCGTAACTACAAAAGCAATATTTTATCGTTTCAAAAGCATCATGTTATCGTTTCAAAAGCTTGTAAATAACGAAGTTTCATTTTATAATATTTCTTAAAAAAATATATTACTCTCTCTCTCTCTCTCTCTCTCTTTCTCCCTCTCAATATTCCAAATGTTTATTTCAACGGATGTAGATTAATATATAGTATGTATTTTGTATTGTAGAGAGAAGAAGTCGCGGCCAAGCTTCGAGATCCGAGCAACGAGGAAGGAAAATATTGATAATCTACAATTCGAATAAATGATACAGTTTGGTTACATGAATTTTAATCGAGCCGATTTGCAATTGTGCACGAGAATAAACACATCGTATGTAGATTACGATACCTTGATTTGCTTCGCTTTTGTCGGAAAAATCCATGATAAAAAATGTATGTAATAAAACTCGGACAACAAATGGACGTCACGATCAGGATGATCAGTCGAGTGACGAACGGTAGTTGAGCGTAAAGAAGAGTGAGAGAGTGAGAGAGAGAGTGAGAGAGAGAGAGAGAGAGAGAGAGAGAGAGAGAGAAAAGAGAAAAGAAAAAAGAAAAGAAGAAAGAAAAAGGAAAAAAAAAATAGAGAAGAAGACGAAACTTGGACCGATTGGCCAGGGAAACGATTTTATATGTAGAAAGAAAGAAAGGAAGAAAGAAAGAGTGAGTAGAAAATATACGAGTCGGACGTTATGCGGTCTTTCGAATTGATCGAAAAATCAGGAGCACAGGAAGGCATCATCGAATGATAACGTTCTTCCTCTCTCTCTTTCTCTCTCTCTCTCTCTCCCTTTTTTCCTCTCTTTTATCTGTATGGAAGTCTCGCAGAATGCGACAGAGGATGGTGATGATAGTGGTAGTAGTAGTGATAGAGATAGTGGTAGTAGTGATGGTGGTGGTGGTGGTGGTGAAGGTGGTGGGGGATATAGTCGAGAGGACGGTAACTAAGGGGCGTGTTCGAGAAGGTCGGGGGTTGTCCCGGGGATGGTTAGGAGGATGAACGAATGGGAATGCTCGAAAGGTAGGTCCGAGGCCGGTGACCTTGCCAACGGTGTACCTCGATAGGGGTGAATCCGCCCCTAGCGCAGCCCCTCTGCCGTTTATCGAATTAAGCTTATCATTTGATTTTGAGGAGACCCACCAGTCAGTCGTCTCGGACGCTCTTAAACGGGCCGAAAAACTTCCTCCTATCCGTGCTATAATCGCAATAATTTGATATCGTTGATCCGATTACGCGTCATAACTTGGCGTCGAAGAGGAGAGAAGAGAGGAAGAGAGGAGAGGTGAGGCGAGGAGAGGAAGAAAAGGTCCGTTTTGCGCTCGTCGAAGCCAACATCGAAGAGATCGTTCTCCAGCCGTTTGCCCACGGCCTTATACGATATCGCGTTAACCGACGATTTATCCGATGTGAAAGGCACGCGCTCTCGATATCTCGTATATTTCTTTGTGAAGGGGGTCGGGTCCAAATACCGGGGGAAAAAGGAAAGGCTCTCACCCCTCTGGTTCTGCGGTTTACGTTCTACGTCGTCCTTGCCGTCGCAGGAGCGCGCCCGCGCCGAAAGGCGCGCTCCCTCGAGCCTCCTCCGTTCGACTTTTCCCGCGCAATCGAACAAACATTCTTCATATCTAAAGGAAACTACGTTACGCGATATAAGCTACGTTATAGATCAACGTACAGTGTGAGATCGTTATAATAACGTGATCTATTTTATCGGAGATCTTTAAACAATCGGAATTAGAAGGGTAGAATGGAAGAAAGGGTAGCATTCGAAACGGTTATCTTCATGGATTGAAGAGGAAAGTGGTGCTCGTTTCGAGAGTCGTCTCTTCGCAAAAGAGGAAGAGAAAGAGAGAGAGAAAGAGAGAGAGAGAGAGAGAAAATTAGACAGAGAAACAAAGAGAAAGAGAGGGAGAGAAAAAGTGCGAGCGAATCGTAAACATAAAAAACGAGAGAAAATAAAAAAAGAATCAACGAAAACAATAATGGATTACTCGTATTTGAATCAGGCTGCGGCTGCTGCGGCCGCCGGCTTCGAAGCGTCCAGTTGCGCGTTGGCCGCGAGCGAGATGCAATGTGGTTACGGCGATCTGAGCTCGTGCTCGCAAATGAGCCAAGCGGCGTATCGGTACACGGCCGCGAGAGCCGCCGGCTACTCGACGAATGCCGGCTCGGCGAGCGGCGGTGGCAGCGCGGGTCCCCTTGGGGCCCATCATGCCTCGCATCCTCATGCCCATCCACATCACGGGGCCCATGCGACTCCGTGCTCCGTAATGGCGGCCAGATCGCAGGACGTTCATCGACACGCTGCCTCTATCTTTCCTTCTGCGATTAATCTCCAAGGTGAGTTTCGACGTTTCCCTTTTTCCTTTAATTTTCGTCGATTTTCTTTCTTTTTTCTTTTTTTTTTTTTTTTTTTTTTTTTTTTTTCTTTCTTTAATCCTTCCCTTTGCCGATTATTTTCTCCCGATCGTCTTAACAAAGAAAATTTAATGGTTGCTGTCGTTTCTTAGATCATTTTTGATAACACTCATTGATATTCATTATTTTCTAGTATTTTATAAAAAAAAAAAGCAAATATTATGTGAGAGAACACGATAGAAACATAGGTACCTACTACTATATAAGAGTGACATGCTTTTCCAGTAACTTCGAATATTTATTATTCTCGAAGTAGAAGACCCTTTCTGACATCTGTCGTGGAATAATATTGAGTTGAAGATCGCTAAAATCAACTAGGGACAATAGAGGGATGATATAAGTATGTGTGTACATAGAAAGAGCTTACCGTTGCGTTACCAAACGTAATAGACGAATATATTGAAGTTTCTCCTTTTGCATCAGTCAAATGAATGTTTAAAAAATGAAATAAAAAATTTCCTTGGACACTCGCCGTAAAGATAGATAAAGGTAATAAAAGTAATGGCCGATTCGTACGTTCGTTCCCGCTACTTATCGCAACCTTCTACGAAATTCTCTCGTTTGAATGACTTATAAATGCAAGGTGGGCGTGTGTGCAGCCCTTTACGCCATGTACACCCTAAAAGCGGTACTTCTCCCAGAAGCGGCGACAAGATGGCACTGAAAATCAATGGACATCTCTCTTTCCCTCTCTCTCCCCCCTACCTCGGTCACTCATTGCTATGGTTACGTCCCTCCTAGTCACCCTCAGCAAATTTTACAGTGTTCCTCGACGTCGTGGTCTTTGGAATTCATCGAGAGAGAGAGAGAGAGAGAGAGAGAGAGAGAGAGAGAGAGAGAGAGAGAGAGAGATGGAGAGAGAGAAAGAGAGAAAGGGAAAAAGGAAGAAAGAGAGAGAGAGAGAGAGAGAGAGAGAGAAAAAGATAAAAAGAGAGAGTGAGAGAGAAAGCACATATTAAGTCAACCTTGTAAAATCGTACCATCTTGGAAAGTTACGCGTGAAATATATTCAACGTTTTCCAAATCAAAAATTCTTTCTTTCTCGAATAAAGTTTAAGGCTAATTCTTTATATATATATATATATATATGTATATACACACATACCTATATCCAAAGCTCAGAGAATAAAAACTTTCAAATTTCCTTACGTTTTTACTTTTCGAGACGTAATTTTTTTTCAATTTCACTATACTTCTCCTATTATGTAAGAAATGAATTATTACATTCGAATAGAAACGAGCAAACAACGGGGAAAATATTATTTTTGATAAAAAAAAAAGAAGTTTGTATAGAATAAACGTAAATTTGAGTTTCGATAATCTCGCGCCTGGTACTAGTGGAACATCTGCCGGTTTAAGTAGTACAGGACGGGCTATAGTCAGACACCATTTTCCATTAGCTCTGGGCTTTCTCCCATTTTCTTCTTTCCCTCTCTTTCTCTCTCCTTCTTTATCTACCTATATACGAATCTACCTTCGAACGAATTTCTTTGGACGATATGCAGACATACAGGACGTAATGAGGATTCGTGTAATTTTATTATCCTGAGGAAAGAAAAGCAAGAAAAAAAAAGGAAAGAAATTCTTCGAAAACGTTCAAAAAGCGATGTCAAAATTATTCGACGTATTAAAAGCTAAATTGAATATACGAACGGATAGACGACTTTAGAAGATCTTTCCGTTTTTTTAATTCCAGGAGGATTAGGATACAAACCCTATACGGGACACGACGGTCTCGCGGAAAAGCGAAAGCAACGGCGCATACGGACGACATTTACGTCGGCCCAACTTAAAGAATTGGAGCGTGCCTTTCAAGAAACACATTATCCGGATATTTACACCAGAGAAGAAATCGCCATGAAAATCGATTTAACGGAAGCTAGAGTACAGGTGAGTCGAAATATATAGGATAATTCAAAATGATTGATTGTGAAAATCGAAAAATTGACGTTCCCGATGGAACGGCGATCGGAATATTCTTGGGAAATTTTTTTCTAAAGTCGAGTTTATCGAATGAAATATGATAAGAGAATCTTTACCTTCTCTCTTAGTTTTTGTTTTATTCTCCTTTATATCTCATATACGTCCTCGAAAAGAGTGGATTGATGAGGTTAAGAAAGTTGTCGGGGAATGGAAAGAAGAGGGTGGCAGGCGTATCATGTAATTACATTACAAGTTCCATTTTCGTTTTCACGGTCATCCATAGCCGTGATCTGATGGATTATACTGCCTAATGCTCTTGACGTATTATCGTAAAGTTTTTGTAAAGAAAGAGAGAGAGAGAGAGAGAGAGAGAGAGAGAGAGAGAGAGAGAGAGAGAAATAGAGAGTATGTATGTATGAGAGAAAGAGAGAGAGAGAGAGAGAGAGAGAGAAATAGAGAGTATGTATGTATGAGAGAAAGAGAGAGAGAGAGAGAGAGAGAGAGAGTGAGAGAGGGGGATGGATTTAGAGATTATTCTCTAGGATACCAGGGTAGCTCGAAATCTTATCCGATACGAAATTTACGATGTAACAAAGGTATATAACGGTGAAGGTACCGAAACTTTCATCTTCTCCTGTCAAATTATCACGTTCGAGAAACAAGATCGAAGCTCGAATCACCGCGAAGATAAATCAATGTTGTAGACGGTTGCATGGAAAATTTCGATCAAATTTAAACGGCAACAAGAGATCTTGTTCTTTATAAAAATTTTATTAAGATTTTTCGATATCGAGGTTAATTTTCGTAACGAATCGACGTGTGTTATGGGATATATGTATAATTTGTTCAAATATCCGACGAAATGAAATCGGAGTTTTTGTTTCTTTGAAAATTGACAAAAGAATCAAGCCGTAGGAATAATTGATATCCGTCTTTTTTCGTTTAACTTTTTTACACAGAGTATTAAAGTAAGAAAGACGTTGGACGAGATTTTTTTACTCTTATCTCTTTTTAAATTTTATTAATTTTTTTCAATCGAATTTATCCTTGCACAATGTGTACCAATACCCCGATAATAACACACTCGCATTGCTAATGTTGTAAAAAATATTGATTCCATTTTCGTCTTGACTCATCCTACCGTTAATTTTGGTGTCGTTTACCTTTCGATTTAATAATATCAGTCACGAGATATCTATCTACGATCTTAGGAACTCGGGAGACGTTTCCACGAATAGCAACGTTTCTTAGAAGTTTGACGGTTTGTGCGATTGCTACCATATCTGAAATTGCGTAATTAGCTGTTCTAATTTCGTATTACCGAAGATAAAGGAAAAATCATAATCTACCATCACGCGTATTATATCAATAGTATAAGGACTTTTCGTGGATAATAATGGCCTTTCGTAGAACGAGGTCAAATAGAGTTCTTTAATCAATTGCAATTAGATTTAATCGTATAATCTAAAAATAATAATAAGCTTCCAAAATCTTCGAAAACACGCGTGAATCTTATCGATTAAATTTTTCCTTTATTAAAATTAAAATTTCATTTAATTCGTATCTCGTAAAAGGACGCTTTTGGCAGAGATAAAATGATAATAAAAATAATAATAAAGATATAAAGAATAATTAAAAAATTGTATTATCAGCTATTAAAACGTAAAATAATTAAATCCGATAGATATTACGGATGGATATACAGTACAAAATTACGTAGGTATATCTTTTGTCCTGAAAAATTGTCGTATTCACGGATTACGGATGATCACATAGCCGATAAAGAACGAAGAAAACGGGCATGCGCGTGGCAATATGGCAAACGTTCGCCAATCAATGCACGCTATTTCTCGACCGTTCCTGATTGGTAGGAAGCAGGTCTATGATATTTTACATTGCGATCGAATATGTAAAGTTTAGAACAACCTTCGAACTATGCATATTCAAACGCAAATTGTTAACGTTACCTTACGTATTTACGTCGATGTTCACGTTAAACGCTTGAGACAAAAGAGAAAAATATTACCTAATTACATTAAGAAAAAAAATTAAAAAAAAAAAAAAAAAAAAAAAGAAAAAAGAAAATAAAAGAAAAGAAAAATAGAAAATAAAAAAAAAGAGAGAGAGAGAGAGAGAGAGAGAAAACAAAAAATGACTGAAATCTAACGAAACAAATGGAATGCAAAGTATAACTCTCGAAAAGCTTGGAGTACGTAACATATTAATTCGCACGTTAGAGTCGGGGTCTACGTTCTAAAGCCACATAATAATTAAACGCGAGGTTACTATCAATTCTCTAGCAGTTTGCGGTCGGGCGGGACCACCGCTGCGTTTGCAGCGTCCGCCAAGACAAGGGTTAACTTGTTAATTTCCTTTACTCGATATTTAGTTCTATTTTAGAATATAAAGATTAAGAAGAGAGAAAGTACAAGTTAAATGTCCTTTCTAATTTCCTCATTTTATCGCGTCACTTTTTTTCTTATTATCAGGAATTCCATAAGAAAACATTTCTTTTTTAGATTTAACATTTAGATTTCATTTAAGGACGATTTCGTCCGTTGAAAGGACGTACTTCATGAAACTACGTGAAAATTAAAACTCTATGTTTATTCGTTTAAAAATCTATTCATTTATATGAATTAAGTTATATGCGAAATTAATGTACACTAAGTGTATACTAAGAGTTAGCATCTCAATGACAAAAGTCTCTTCTTCGATCTTTATTCTCTGAAACAATTAGGGTTAAATCCTAGGTCTCATTTTGCTTTGTCTTTTTCTCGTTCTTAGGGTCAAGTAATTCCAGCACTTCTTTCTGATCTCTTTGTCTGATCAAAATCAACCTCACTGAGTTTTCCAGGTTGCCTATGGCTCTCTCTCTCTCTCTCTCTCTCGCTCTTTGAGTTCGATAAAACAACCCTCCTTGCGTTCCCAATTCACCCTAAGCTCTCTCTCTCTCTCTCTCTCTCTGTCTTTCTCGCTCTCTCTATCGGTATCCACGTGCCGCCTACCCTATCCCCTCTCTCCGTCACCCTCTTAGAAAGACCATTCGACGGCCACGATTGGTCCCTAACCTCTTCGCCGTTTTGGCCATTTCTACTTACGAGCACCACTCTCTCCTACGACGTTTTCCTTATGTCTCACAGTAGACACATGGATTCTATTCCTTTCTCTGTGTCTTTCTATGTTGGCCTTTCTCTTTCTTTATGTGTAAACGCAGTGTGTACGTGTACTTACGTGTGTACTTCTATGTGAGAGTGTGTTTTAATTGTAAGATCTCCTTAATGTCTAGCGTCGTTTTCTATGGCGGTAATTATCTTTCTAGAATTCCTCTTAGAGTCCATCAATCTCTCTCTCTCTCTCTCTCTCTATCTCTTTCTTTCTCGTCTTCTTTATTTTATGAAGAAATTCTTTCAAATTTTTCCAAATACTCCGCGTGGTACTCTCAAAGAATTAAAAGTGCATACAAATACGAAGTTAGCTCGCTTAAATATTTTCTCAATTAAATGATGTAACGAAAAAGGAAGAAAGAAAGAAAGACAGAGAGAGAGAGAGAGAGAGAGAGAGAGAGAAAAGGAGAAAGGGTTATGGGTTCGTCAATCGATGCATCTTCCTCAATTCGTCGGAGGAAAAAATGAAAGATCTTCCATTTCCTGTAAGATATTCGTACGAAAATTCTGTTATCATGCTGAATATAACCAAGTCAGGCTATGGCTATTGATAGTAACTCGTTGTTAAATATCCGCTGTGGAAATGTTTAATGGAATCGACTGTGCCGCGAGATTTGTCACGTTAAAAATAATATCAAGACAACAATTAAGTTTGATATCTCAAGCATAAACGTACATACGCATACATTTAACGTAGTTACCTGTCCAAAGCTCCTTGTTATTATCTTAAATTAGATGGATATGTGAAAGCCAAGCCATGGATACGTCTAATTACGTAAAGGAGTATAGAATTTTATTAGTCGGGGAAACCGAAGAGAAGAATTTTATCTTCGGCAGAAGCAACGATTGAATTTATATCTTTTTTCAAAATATCGTCTCGAGAGATTCGTCTTGTTTCTCTTTTCTTTTTTTCTCTTTCTTTTTTTTTTTGGTCCAAGTATTTAATTATTAATTTTTGATTTTTATTTTGCCAAGGAACAATACAATCGATTGCAAATATGAAGTTGATTTAAAAGGCGTATATTTTCGTAACTGTTACTAAAGTAGAGGATTGTTAATAAATTAATGGATGCAATGAGAAAGAGAGAGGAAGAAAAAGAAAGAAATGACATCCCCTCTCTTGATTTGTACATATATATTATGCAGAGTTGTTCTAATGGAATTGTAATTCGTCGAGAACGACTTGTGACTCAGAAGTAGCGAAACGTGTCGGCACGTGACTGACAGCGTGTGGTCAATGGGATACGCTGTGGCGTGGTGTAACATCGGGGTAATATCATTTTCGTAGCCGAGATGTATGATTAATTTTATCGAATGGGATAAACACATATAGGTATTAAATGAAATACGTTTATCCATTTCCTTGGAAAATTATCATCAATTTTATCGCATTTACATGACGTTGTCATAATCGAAAATATTCTATATGTGATAATCTACGAGTAGTACGAGAAAATCTGATATAATCAAATTCTCTATGGGGAGGATCATGTATTTGAAAAATAAGAAAGACAGAAAGAAAGAAAGAAAGAAAGAAAGAAAGATAGACAGAAAGAAAGAAAGAAAAAGAATGTAAAAGAGTTCGAAGTCAAACGTTTTGGTTATCCGACGGGATAGCCCGAAGTGTGTTTGAAATATTTAGCGAGCTTCTTTTTCCCGATGGGATATAGGATCGTGCTACGGAAGGAAGAGTCGAATCGAAAGAGCAAAAGTTCGAGACAACGTTCGCGACGCGAAGGGACAGGCAGGAAGGGCAGGTGACAGAGAAAGAGAGATAGAGAAAAATACAGAGAAAGTGAGGAAGAAGGTAGCTGAGTTGGCGGGTGGTTGCTATCAAGTGGAAGTAGGAGTATACATGTATGCGTGTGTGTCTCTATGTGTGTGTAAGAGAGAAAGAGAAAGAAAAAGAGAGAGAGAGAGAAAGAGAAAGAGAGAAAGACGAGCTGCCGGGTGGAAATGGAAGAAGGGACCACCCGAGGAGCCAGAGTCGAGGGGTTGGTTCGATGGGATGAAATGGGGAAAGCACTCACCCTGCTTGCCTGTCTGGTGCCACTGCAAGGAATGGTTGATACACAAGGGGCCCATGCCGGCGTATACCCTGGTAATTGCAAGTCCTATGTAGATCCACTTACAGTGATTAAAAACCGTCCTGCGGAGCATATACCAAGGACGACGCACCAGAAACTATTGGATTCGGATGTATCAGAGTATAACAGACCTGGGAATGCTTGTGCCTTTCCTACGACTTTTTCTCTTCGCTATATATGTATATTGTACATATCTTGCCAATCGAATATTTCACAGATGTATAGTCTTCGATGATGTTTTTATGATATTGTACTCTATAAAAAATACGTTCGATTTGATCGTAACGTAAGGAAAATTTTCTAGAACAAAATGTTTCTCGATTCTCGTAGACGAATTTATTCGACTTAATTGTAATTAGTTAAAGTGATGAAAGTTGGTCGTCGTTAGATTAAAATCAAGTAGCTACCATTAACTTGACAACCGATCTTAAAGGGAACCGAGGGAATGTACTTTGGTATTGATGTGTCAGTTTGCGGGGTTCCTTTTCTCTTTGTCCATTAATTGAAGCAACAATTTCAGGACCACAGATATATATATATATATATATATATATATATATATATATATATATATAACAATCGAAAAGAATAAATCTTAATTCGAGAATTAAACTTACTAGATTGGCAAGGAATACTTTCTACAATCAATTTAGGCTGATCTCTTTATACTACATTAGAACGATATCTGACGTTGCTCGATATTTATTTGATATACTAAGCTTCTTGAATGATTTGAATTGTTAATTCTCTTTTAATCTTTTTATTGCTTCCTTCGAAATATTTAGAAAATATTTATCCACTTGATTGAATAATGTAGCTGATGGATAAAAGAATAAACTTGGAAGAATGGGATAGTATATTATGCAACTATGATATCCTGATAGTTCAGATGGTCGAGGTTAACCAGTCAAGGGTAGAAAAGTCTAATAGAGCAAAAAAGAAAATCACGACCCCGTGATGTTAAGCCGATGGACAAAGCACGGTAGAAATCGTGTTTGCCACATTGCCGCACATTGTCTAGCGTAGCATACCAATAGAAAAGGGGTGAATAGGGATAGTAGGAAGGGTGAGACAAGTGTAAATGCTCCTTCCCCGTTCTCTCCTTTCAATCTGACATATAAGGTGTCTTTACATCGTAAATACGTTCATAAATACATACATACAAAGATATATACATAAATACGTATGTTTCTATCGTAAAACGAATAAGAGAAGTAGAGAGAGAGAGAGAGAGAGAGAGAGAGAGAGAGAGAGAAAGAGAAAAGGAAAATGAGGGGTGGCCAGATAGACAGAGGTGTAAGAAGATGGGGATTTCTGAGTGGCGGCCTGAATAAAAAGTGATTAAATATTTATCCAGAACGAGATGAACATCTGTCTAAGTACAGGCTTGTTACATTTTATTTAACTAGGAGTATATTTATTTAACATTAACGCCGTCGTAGACTCCCCAGGCGTTTACCACCGTCGTTGATTCGGTAAATAGTGGCACACATGTCACATGGACTTCTGGAAACATTCTAAGCTAACGATAAGCCGGTCTACTAAGGTAGCTCATTTCTGATTGGTTTCTTAGACTTTGTTTATGATTCTCTTTACTTTGTTTTTATTTATTTGTCAATGTTCACGAGGTTAATATGCAAAAATGTTATTTCCTAAGATAAAGTTATTTAAAAAGCAAGTTCCCCTTTTCATTTTCGGAAAAATAAACGAAAAGAAAAATATAAAATAAATAAATAAAAAAGGAGAAAAAGTCAGAACGAAACACTCTCATATTTCATTTCTCTTACGAATATTCTACACCACCCCCTTATCAACACCATCGGGCCAACACCAGTACGACAGTGGTAGTATCAGCAGCGGTAAAAGCGGCACAAGCGGCACAGTAGCTGATAAAAATCCAATAGCGGTGTTTGCCGTCCGGAAAGGGCAATCACGTTCATCATGGTGTTCCGTGCCTCTTCCTCCGTGAATCCTTCCTCACCCTCCTCCATTTCCTCTATCTCTCTCGTCTCTGGAAAATCCAGGGGGCTGAATCCACGTGAGGAAGGTGTATATTTATATATATATATATATACACTATATATATACAATATATATATATTGTATATATATATGTATATATATATATACAGCTAGAGGTAGGGGTAGGTCTTTGGGGAGGGTGGGTGGTGGCTCCTCTGCCGGTCAAACAAATGCTAAAGCAAATAAATCCCCTGCTTTAACATGCAGGTCGGCACCGCTTTCCGTTTGTTTTATTCGTTAAATATTTCGTTTGGTCAACTAGAGCCAATTACGCGTGCTGCATGGTCCTCCTCTTCCTCTCTCTCTCTCTCTCTCTTTCTCTCTCTCTATCTCTCGCTCTTTTTTCGGCGGTGTACGCGCATACGATGTTTTAAAAAACGTCGTGGTTGATGTGTTCGTTGACTACTCATCACCCGTTTCCCAATTTTCATTTGGAAAAAGAGGGCACCGTGAACATTGCTATCTCTGTAGGAGTATGATTGGAATTGATTGTAGTTATATTTCTAACTAGTTTTTTTTTTCTCTTTTATCATTCCTCTCCTCATTTTTATCGGATTGCCTTCTTTCTTTTGGTTTTTTTTCCTTTTTTTTAATGTTACAGGTGTGGTTCCAAAATCGTCGTGCGAAATTCCGAAAACAGGAAAGACTGGCCCAACAAAAGTCTTCGTCTCAAGGTGGAATAGGTGGTGATAGTGGTGCTTCAAGTCCAGTTGCTGGAAACGTCAAAGCCGAAGGACGTTCGCCAAGAAGTCCTGCGACACCGCCAGGTGGCTCGAACGGTAGTGTCTTACCATCGAACGAGGTCAAGCCTGTCGCTAATCCTAATTTGGTTAATGTGAAACATACACCTGACGGTACCGGGGAAAATAGCTCACCTAGCGCTCGTGCAAACAGTGGAGGTGGTACGTGGGGTTCATGCAGTCCAAGACCTTTCTCCACGGCGTTACCTTCTTATTTGTTGGATCCGCTACCTTTGAAAACCGGAAATCTTTATTAATTTCGTTTCCTTTAGATGGTTACGGTAAGCCGACAAATTCGTGTAAATATAAAGAGTATCGTCTTATCGGACTGGTTGCCGAGAATTTCGGTGTGATATTTAGATACAAGTGTGGTCGTTTAAATTCAAATTCGGCGCTGCGACGATTATTGAGATTCAATTAAAAATAATTATCAAAATGCGTTGACACAGTACCGATCGAATTGATTCGAAGATAATAAGAAATAACTGAAGAATTTAGAAATGTGTAAGTTATTAATGACCACCCTTGTAGCAACGAGTTCGATTCGTTACCCTGTTATATCAGACTTTCGGGAACATTGTTAATAGTTATTTTGTTTTCCGAAGTTCACCGATATATAACTTGAGGACGTTTAAAAATGGTTGATCGTTTCATTTCAACTTGTAAGTCCTACTTTGATCGATTTAAATCGAGAATAAAATGGTTGAGAGAGAGAAAAAAGTGTACTCGGTAAAGTATGACTTTGGGATAAGTTCACACGTTAAGATTATAATAAATATCCGCGTACTCGATGACTGTCCACGATATTCGATTAATAGGTACAAAGTAATGATTATAAAATAATTTGTTATTCGCGGATTTTTATCCCTAGGATTCACTCAAACGGTACGTTAGGACATTATCCATAGTCATTTGTAAAAATCGTTATTTAAGAGCGAGGGAAATAGTTAAATTCGTGAATTTAACATTTAATCATGCGATCATTGTTTAACGTTAGTTTTCTTAAGGTTAGATAGATGTGTAGAAGACCAACAGAAGCAATAATGGCGGTCGCCTGTACAGAATTAACGACTACGATTGTTCAAAAACTGGATTTCTCTCAAACAAATGTCTTGATTCGTCACTTTTTGAAAATTAAACCCGTGAAATAGTGTCGATTTTAAATTCTCGAAATCTTCAGATGGCACTCTTTCCTTTTCTCTTTCTTCTTTTTCCTTTTTATTATTATTATTATTATTATTATTGTTATTATTATTATTATTATTATTATTATTATTATTATTATTATTATTATTATTATTTCTTTTTATTTTTTCCGACAATGCCATACGAATCTCATTCGTGTATCTATCACTTTAAGAACGCAAATACTAGTTTGCACGTATACCTTAGATCGTATATTGTTGCACTATGCATAAAACCATCGTAATCTATGCCACGAATTATTCGCAGAGACGAGTTAACGATAAAGAGAGAAAATGATAAAGATAACCCACTGCGTCCTTGATAATCTAAACATAAAGCGACAGCCGTCCTGAACAAAAAAAAATGTTTAAAAGAATATAACCAAACTGTGACAAATGTATTGCTAAAGAAACCGATGGGTAGGATAGATGGAAATTGTATCTATCATTTCCTTTTCCCTTATTTTTTCTATTTTTCTTAAAATCATATTAATCATCCTAAATAGACGAGACGTTAATGAAGTCAACACGATTTTATCAGATCATTGTCCTTCCAATTACGTATTCAAATTCGAAACAATAAATTTGACAAAGCTGACCCAAGAAAAATTAGGATAGCCTTTGATCCATTGTCACTTACAACCGTCCATCCTCTATCGCCTGCCTCAAATTTATTAATCGAAGATCCGTATCACAGGAAAGTACGGTACGAGAGAAATTTTACATTTTTCAAGAAATAATGATAATAATAATAATAATAATAATAATAATAATAATCGAAAAGCCAACCTGGATTTATTAGTTAAGCGCCTGGCCGTTTTAAGCGAGCGCAAATTTTAATATCCTGAAAATGTGCAAAAAACATTTCGGGAAGATGTGATTTTGTATTTATGACTTCGATCAGAATCGGATAGATCGAGAATTTCGATGAAAAATGTGAGAATGTCGTACGTACATAACGTGTATAATAACGTGAATACTGTATATTGACTTATCATTTAAGATTAAGAACAACTAAATCGCTCTATGCATATAGTAATTCTATTGATAAGATATATATTATAAAAATAACACGATATGTGTTAATGTACACAGTTATGACGTCAGAGAGAGAGAGAGAGAAGTTGCAGAATGCGAAATATACAAATTATTTATGTGTACATCGGAGGCAGAATGTTTATTTAAAAACTTGTAATAAATATATTATAATTAATGCGATTATTAACCTTATGTATTTCCTTCTATTCTCTTGTCGACTTATTGACAAATTTTCAAGTAATATCAATATTCCTTCTAAATCCTTGGCCTCTTTTCAAATAATTCGACTATTATTATTTTTATCAAAATATTCTGTATTATACGTAACAAAGGAAAAAGAAGAAGAAAAAAAAAAAAAAGAAAATTCACACAAGGGAAAACGCACATTTAATCAATGTCGATTCGACCTACTCTATCATTTATCTAAGTCCATTTTTCTTTAGTTGAAATTTACAAGAGAAAAAACTAAAAGATTACTTGCATAGCCTACATATGTCAGTGTAGATATTTTTATTGGATTTAATAATTCATTAACTTCATACAAATTTTTCTAACGTATAAATAAAAAAATCCATCGGAATTGATTGGTCTTAAAAGTTAATAAAAATCTAAATTTTTGAAATTGATATAATCTCTTGAATTAGAGTAACAAACTTTCTCTAAAACTCGCTTAAATATGATAATTATAATTATTGAATGTTGTGGAATATTTATTATTTTTTTAACTCAATTTCTTTCTACCCCATGAGACATGCAACAGCTGCCATCTGTGTTCAGAAAGATTCGTGAGTGTAGGGGGTTGAAAATACGCCATCTGTAAGCACGGAAGGATTCTGTTGAAAATGCAGGCTAACATAAGCCGACATAGATCCTGCAGACGATAAAAAGTAGGAAACTGTGAATGTAGCGAACGATAATATCACAATATTGTCCGTTGATTTTACTTTTTAATAATTCAAAACTATTTTAATTTATATCGGGATATAAAAAATTCCGTCCGGATAACTCGTATATCAATTTTATCAGAGATTTTCGTATGAATTAAAAATAAAGGAAAATGGAAAATATGCGCTTATTGGTAGAAAAAAAAAACAGAAATTAAAAAAAAAAAAAAAAAGAAAAAGAAAAAAGAAAACAAATAAATAATAAAATTCTTCAAAAGTCGGATCACTGTTAATACGTTAGTAAATAATATTAATATAATTTAGCTATTTTCTTAATCGCTAGTTAATAAATATTAAACTAAAAATTATCCTCATGAATCACTTTACTTTCGAATATATATATTCACTGAAAATTACAATAATATAAGATTTTGTCTTATAATCGATTTACATCATTCTTTTTCCTGATTACACGATTGAGATATGACGTGTATGTATGTATAATAAATTTCGTTCGATCAGATCGTATCGCGTCGTAATACATATATATACATGTATATACGTTTCAGTGTTCATTTTATATGGCGGCTTGTAACAGACACACCTGATGATACTTCCATTAATTTGCTTTTCCTACGTATTATATAATATAACTATGGATTAAAACATTTTGCCTATAAATGGTCCTTTCTCACCCTCTCTCGTTCGCTCGCTCTCTCACTCTTTCTCTCTTTCTCTCTTTCTCTCTTTTTCTCTTTCTCTCTTTCTTAAATCACGTATATTTATCACCTATTAAATTATTTAACTCTCAAGCGAATAACCTTAATTAACACGAAAGTCCTTTTTATCGGAAATGGAGAGTCGAACATTTAACGTAGAGAATTAACGTTTAAAGAGCACTCCCCATGTTATTATCGTTTCTTTTATATATATATATTTTTTCTTTTTTTTTTTAATACATATATATTTAAAAAAGAAATATATAAAGAATTATTCGTAAAGCGAAGACTTTCTGTGATAGGCAGTGATACAAGGTTCTATGATCACATATAACCGCACAATAGCGCACATGATACAAAGAGGAGGAATGTGCGTTTAGTGTGTGTTAAATGTAAATAATAGCCATCCTCGCATCCCTCTCTTTTAAATTCTCGCATTTCATTTCTGAATGATAACATCGATGGAACATTGTGTAGCTTTTACGCACCGCGGACAATTATCAATGATAAAAAGAAGGAAATTGTACTTTGTTTCACGCAGAAAGTTCGTTTATTCGATTATCATCGACGTATATATTATTTCATTGTAGCATTACGTTCGTTCGCTCGTTTTCGTAATTCCAGCTTGAAAGTGACAGCAAAATTGATGATATTAAGAGATAAAGCTAAACGATATTTATGAGTATTATTATTATTATTTTATAATATCGCGTTAGAAGTATTATTAGTTCCATATAATAATAGTTTTCTAGCTATGATCGAAAATATAATGACGGGCGATGGTGGATGTATTAATTTTTTTCTTTTTTTTTTTCCATTTCATTTTTAAAGACCAGAGTGCTCGTCGTTCGTTCTATTCAATTAAAAATATTTCTCACTTATTTCTTATTTTTTCTTTAACATAGATAGCGTATAGACAGATGTATGTATATAGGATGTATTTATATGGATATATAACACTACGGAAGATCAAATTTCGAGAGAGAAGATAAAACCGTTATTTTCTTTTTTTTTGCCCCCATTAAAAATTGATGAAATAAATTTACCGTATAATTAGAAGATGTTCGTGTCAATGATGTCTTATGTACGTGTAGAACGTGTAAATTTGTATAAGTGTGTGCGTGCGTGCGTGCGTGTATGTGTATGTGTGTGCACGCGCATCGAATGTTGTTAAAGACGGTAAAATTTAAGCCATCGTTAGTGTACCCGCGCCCATGCCAAAACCGACACCCTTAGGTCCAAAATTCCTGTTGTAGCAACCCCTGCAATAAATATCACCATCCGGTGCATCGTTGAGATTCGTCGAGTCCAAGGAACGATGGCAAGCTGCACAGCTAAAGCAACGCTTGTGCCAGACACGATTCTTCGAAATCATTTGCTCAGCAGCGTAGACTGGATAACCGCAACGAGAACAACCGTGTCCGTCATTACGTTTCTGCCCAAGCTGAGGCTTCGAATCAATGCTGCGTTAGAAACAATCGAAGAGATTTCTTTTAAATATTGTCCGAGGTAAAATTAATTGTTATTATTATATTTGATATTTAAGTCAACTTACTAGGATGGTGCATGATCACCATTCGTCGAAACGAGAGTAGGAGTATGTCCAAAGCCAAATCCTTTAGGTCCAAAAAGTTTGCTGTAACAGGAACGGCAATGAATTTCTTTGTCCGGGCCATCGCAAGCTAACATCGAGTCAAGAGGACGATGACATTCGGCACAATTGAAACATTTCTTATGCCACATGGTACCCTTAGCTAGCTGTTGTTCAGCTGCGAATACCATGCCACCGCAACGAGGACAGCCCTGTCCGGCTGGTGCTTTGATGGAAGTCGTGTCCGGATTGTAAAAAGGTCGACTCGCTGAAATTTCATCCTCCCTAGAGAAAAAAAAAAAAAAGAAAAGAAAAGAAATAAAACGACGATCTCTTTTACTCTTTCTATTCCTTTGAAATTTTCCATGAAAATTGAATTTCACTCACGTTAGACCGTCGGTCTGCAAGAAACCAGAACCACAGGCAAATCCATAACCGTGAGGTCCCCATTTCTTCCCGTAACAAGTTTTGCAATAGACGTCCTTGTCAGGACCATCGCAAGCAATGATCGAGTCAAGCGTTTTGGTACAGTCACGACACTTGTAACATTTTCTATGCCATTCGCGTCCCTTTGCAAGCACCTGTTCCGCGGCAAAGACTACACCTCCGCAACGTGGACATCCCTTGCCAGGTGGAGCCTTGATGATGGCTGTGTCGATAACCGTAGTACGAGGAGCGGCATCACTAAATGTTCATCAAATATAGAAAAATCATATTATTATACGATCGACTGTTTATTAATATCATTGAAATATAGTAATAGTATTTATGTAAAAGCAAATGTTACATAAGCATTATGTAAGCGAAGGAAGATTGTACATATTTAGGGTTGCATGCTTTTTTACAAAAAGAAGAAAAAAAAAGGAAAAGGAAAAAAAGAAAAAGGAAAAAAAAAGAAAAAGTAAAAATAAAAGAAAAGAGAATACCGACTAGAATCGTTTACAGTATAATAAAATATGATAGAAAACACATAACAGACAGATCTCATTCAAAAGAAAGCTTCAGCTAACAAATGCCACCTGTAAGCTCGCGGCAAAAGCTTGCACGTGCGTAATTAATCTCTGGATTTAGAGAAAATAAATAAATATATATATATATATATATATATATATATATTTATATGCACACACACGCGCACACATATATATATATATATAACTTTTTACGACCGCTACAAAGTTGTAACGCTAAATTTAACATTTCTATCTTCGCTAACAGAATATATGAAATCGTGACATCAAATGTTAATAAACATTTATGCTTCGGATGCAGATGATGTCTTATAAATCATCTATAAAAATGAAACTTTCTATAAAAAAGAAAAAAAAAAAATGAAAATAAAAAAATAAAAAAGAAATAGAAACAAAAATAAAAGAATGAAAATGAAATAATTGATAACAATATGGAGACTCTATAGGAGCAATTAATTTGTCAGGATAAATATAACCGGGTACAATGACGTTGAAAAATAAAAAATAATAAAGCTAAGGGGTGCATACCCCTCATCCTCAATATCGCACTGCAGGCCGATCCACATAACCCCAGCATGACCAATACCTCGCGGACCGAATTTCTTCGGATAGCAAGCTGTTAAGCAGACAAGCGCACCATATATAGTGATAGTGTAGAAGCTGAGGCGGGATATCTCTCGCGCTTTCCCGTCTTAGTTTCGGCTCTGAAAACCCACCCATTGGTGTAGCAGTCGCTCTGCAGGGCGCCACCACCCTGACCGTAGCCATAACCCTTCGGCCCGAACCTCTTTCCGTAGCATACTGCAGAGAACACGAGTTAAAGGTATCTCGTAGATCGTCTTGGCCGACAGTACAGGCCAAAGAGAAGTTGTAACGTGCTGATCGAAATAATGATCGAAAAAGAAAGAAAAGAAAAAAAAAAAAAAAAAAGAAGAAAGAAACAAACCCGAGTAAATATTTGATGAAAAAAAAATTTTTTTTTTATTATAGATCCTGCACATTACATCTTCCTGCCTACGGACATTTCTTTTTTTTTTTTTTCTTTTTTTGATCACCTTACCTTTGCAATAGATATCCTTGTCAGGACCTTCGCAGCAGTTGACAGAGTCTAACCTCTTGGAACAGTTGGCACATTTAAAGCATTCCTTGTGCCATTGCTGTGTCGGATGCAAAGGGTCTTGTGTTAGTCACCTCGGAGGAATAACGTGCTTTGACAATTCTACTTATTGTCATTGATTATTGATCTCAATCGAGCGTACTCTGTATGCTTCTCGAATTGAACACATAATATCTTATCAATGGGATTGTATCACAGTATTTTAGAAAACCAAAGGATGACCCATTTGTAGTGGCCAGTCCTCTTATGTCTGTTTAAGAAGGTCTTTACGAGTGAATTGAATTGGTAAAGAAAAAAAAAAAAAAAAAAAGAAATCATTTTATTTGACATAGAAGAAGAAGTTTATCAAAATACACAAGAAAATTAGATAACAAAAAGGTGGAAAAACCAAGATCGCGGATAACGAGTTGTAGGTAAATCCTGGAAGAGAGAGAAAGAGAGAGAGACAGAGAGAGAGAGAGAGAGAGAGAGAGAGAGAGAAAGACTTTGGTGCTAGTAGTAGGAATCCACAATATCTATGACGGTTAAAAAACTGTTCTTTTTTCTGCAATTCTTCCAGTAAAAAAAAAAAAAAAAAAGAGAAAGAAAAAGAAAAAAAGAAAAAAGTGATACGGATATGTCAGTAACGTGTTTCACAAGACAGCGATATTAAGGAAACATAGATTTGTTGATCAAAAGATACCTCGACAATATATATCGCGATCCGGACCATCGCAATGAAGCGTCGAGTCCAGAGACCGTTGACAGACTTTGCACTTGAAGCATTGCCTGTGGTAACCCTAATCACAAGAAGCAGGAATGACCACGCTGGGCCCCGAGTAGAGTTCTCAGATTGTCCGTTGTTATCGAATCAATCGATCGGGATCATTCAGGGGTTGGTGCGACGGATCGATCGTTTTAACGATCTCGATATATCTATCGATATGAGAAAAGAATTTTCCTACGATTTGATATATTTTATTCGTTCTAGTTAGGGTGTATCTCTGGTCCCAGTGCTATTTTTTAACATCGAGCGGCTAAGATCGGTCGACCGGTTGGTGTTTTGCCAGACATGATGCTGAGGAAGCTTTTTGGAATAGCACCAACGGCAATAAGCTGACACCGATTCCCTCTATCCCCTCCTCTCAAATGCCGTCCATTATTTTTTCTCTATTGTTAGAAAATTACACGTTTCGTCATACACACCAAGATTACGGAAACACGTCACGATCCATGAGCTTTGGCAACATCTCCGACTCGTGCTTGTTCATAGTGCTCACGCGTTTAACACCACTATCGTAACGTCTAATCTCATCACCCAGTACGATGCTTTGCGCAATCGAACTCTTTCGAGGAATGACTCGATTCCTATCGATAGATGTCACCCAAGCTACGTACTTACGTATGTACGTTTTTCTTCATTAAAATTTTTCTTTCTTTCTTTGCTTCTTTCTTTTTTTGTTTTTACTTTTCTCCTTCTTTCAAAAGTTCACGAAACGATCGAATTAGAATTGTAGGAATAGATGTAAAATTATGTTAAGCCGGTTAATACACTCGCGTAATCAATTAATTTCATTCGAGTCCCCGAAACACGTATAGAATGCGTCCAAATATTTGGAGAATATTTTTCGTCACAATTCCAAGACAATCAGATTTATCTTATCTCTCTACCTGATTGTTTGATCATCCAGGCACCCTCATTTATTCTACCTAATCATTTATTTTACGATTGCACGGTATAGTAACGCAAGCAATCTAACGAATTTTCGGCTAAAAATACGAAGCAAATCCGGCACAGAGAAGAAAACGAAGTCGTCCGAGCTAAGTGCCGACGCTGGAGATCTAAATTTAGTAGCTCGAGATAATATGCTTTCGGTACCACCTGTGCTGATCCTGAAAGACGAGAACTTAATCACCGTAACGTTTTATTCTAAATCGAACGAAATTAAAAAATTAAGATTACTTAAAAATATATCAGAACGGATAAGATATCAAATTTTATTCTAATTCAATCCAAATGTATGTATAAATGCTATTTGATTTTTTTAAATGTGATGATAATTATGAAAAGATACTAATCAAAGATATATAATTTACGTTCTCACGTATTAAGTTGTCCTAATTATATGTACATGTATTCGATTAACGTGAGGGTGTTATAAAAATTATCGAAAATAAATAAATGAATAAAAATTTCGTTTCATTTAAAAACTTATCGAATATCCTTTGATATCGGTGAAAGGAGAATATTGTAGAAACGACGCTACGAATTCACGTTTCAACGGTCAATAGGCAACCCGGCGGATACTCGTGGGTGTTCGTGTAAGAGCGATCGTCACGCCTGTTATTCTAGTCTCGAATTTGCTTGGCACGCTGCTAAGATTAGATACCTTTGACTAATTATCTTACTTCTCGGTTACCCCCTTTCTTTAGCGTGCTCATAAGTATAACGACTTATAACACGAGAATAGGAAACTCTATGAAAATTATTTTACAAGGGATTCCATAAATATCTTTTTGGCATTCCTTATTTAACTTATGGCAGATGTAGCCTAGGATACAGTATACAGATGATACACCATGTAACATTATACTCTAGCCAGATTTGGTCGATCGTGTTCAACTTCTAACGATGTCGATGAACCACGCTCAAATAGATCGTCGTTAATGATTTTTTTTCTAAATTTAACGTTGTTAGAAAATTATTGGCCTATTCTCGTCGCTTTAAGTTTTTTTGATTTTTTTTTTATTTATTTTTTTTTTTTTTTCTTTATCACTATAATAAAGCAGCTTGTTAAAAGAACCTTTGTTTTTTTCGATTTGATCGTAACGAACGATCCATCGCACCATCGAGATTGATCCAAAAGAGCCGATAGAAAGAAAGAGAGAAAAAAGAAAAAAGACAAGGAGACACGAATGGTCTCCTCTAAACTTACCCTTCCCCGTGCTAACATTTGTTCAGCAGCATAAACGTATCCTCCGCAACGAGGACATCCCTCACCCTCGGGTGCTTTTGCAATGGCACGTGGTTCCAATACAGCGTTCGATCCTCTCGCAAGTTCCCTAAACAATGACAGGAATTAGAAAATCTCGTATCTTTTCTTCACTTCGATTGAGAATAATGCGATGCTATGCGATGATCGGTGCTCGATCGAAAACAAGAACAAAAAAACAAAATGACCGAGCTCCGATCTTTCTTTTTTTTTTTTTCTTTTTTTTTTCTTTTTCTTCTTTTTTTTTTATTATTATTATTATTATTATCTTTCATTTTATTTTAAGCCACTCTCTCATCAAACTGAAGCAGCAGCGCAACAAACTGTGCCGAAGAAAAAACAAAAAAAAAAAAAGGAGAAAAGTGTAAGCTAGAAAAAAAATCGTGAAACTGGTAGAATAAAATTTATTCGTTCTCGATTATCGTTGTATATTACGACGAATTCATTCGTTTTTCTTTTCTTTCTTTCTTTATTTATTGCAATTGTTCATTTCTTATACCAAAGATCAATAATAATTTTGCGTGTAAAAATTTTAAAAATCAATCTACCAGTTTCGCAGACTTTCGCTCTCTCCGGCAGCCGCAGTAGAATCTAAGGACATAAGAATTCGACAATGAATTTCGTAAAGAGAAATAATTAAGAGGCTGATGTTAGATTGAGCGTGTTAGTAAATTGTTAATGTATTTTTACCCCCACAACCACGCAATAGACATCCGCCGAGCCCCGAGAGAAGAGCCGAGAAGCGGAGATGAATATAATAAATGAGATATAGTTTCGAAACTCGACAAAAAAATAAAAACGGAAGAATAAGAAAATGCGACTAATAAGGGAATAAGGGAAGATATATGCCAGACTTTGGCGAAAATTAGGAGAGAGAGAGTCTGAGCGTGCCCGAGGACGTACATACATATATATATACACATATACACATACATATATATATATATATATATATACATATATATATTTCTGTTTTTTTTTGCGAGCTTTACTTTGTGTACATAATGTGTATATATGCGAGTACGAATCATATATACACGTCTACTAGCAGCGATGCATCGAGAGTTAAGATTTGTTAGCAAGGTTACGGGGTTATATGTCAAAAGAGAAAGAGAGAGATAGAGATAGATAGAGAAAGAGAAAGATAAAAAGTAGGATAGATAGATAGATAGGTAGAAAGAAAGAAAGACAAAGAGAGAGAGAGAGAGAGAGAGAAAGAGAGAGATAGATAGAGAGAGATAGGTTGAAAGGCCGTGCAAGGTGTCTTATTGGAACATATAGAAAAAAAAATAAGCTTGCTTTTTCATCACGCGGGGATAGAAGAGAGCTATAAAAAAGAAAGAGAAAGATAGCTAGAAAGAAAGAGAGAGAGACAGTTAGAGAAAGAGAAAGAGAGATGAGAGAGAGAGAGAGAGAGAGAGAGAGAGACGGAATCTGACTCAGGTGCTCACCATTTTGGTACTCAGTATATTTTCTTTATCGCTTTCGCTTTTGTCATATTGCGACAACATTTTTTTGTTCAATGGGCCTCTGGTTGGCTCGAACTCAGCGGGGCTGGCGGGGTAAGGTGTGTTCGTGTATTTTACATTTTTTTTTTTTTCTTTTCATTATTTCATTTTTTTTTTCTTATTGGTTGTTGCTGTTGTTGTTGTTTTTTTTTATATATATATACATATACATATATATATATATATATAAATGGACCTATGGGAATTCACAGTCAGTAGGGGGGATTCACAGAAATTTCTTTTTCCTTTTGTTTAACCATAGACAAAGGGAAATAGTCACAATCACGTTACGCGTTATCATCAGAACGTTCGATATTGCACAATACGGACGAAGGGCTAAGGGGGCTTGATTTGGTAAATGGAAAGATTTCGTAAGACAGGTTTTTTAGGTAGGTATGCGTGTGAGAAGAGAGAGTTATTCGGTGAATGAAAAACACTTTATCTTTTTTTGTTTTTTTGGTTTTTCTTTCCCTTTTTTCCACTTTTAATGGCACTTATTACAGATGGTACAAATGATCCTACAATCTAATGTTCTTTTTTCTTTTTTTTTTCTATTTTTTTGTTTTTTTTTCGGTTTTGTTCCTTTCTTGTATGTGTGTTCGCACAAAAAAAGTGTGAAACGCTCGATTTTGGGCAGCCACGTAGTCACAGGCCCATGTACGAAAAACATTAACGAAGATACACAAAAGAGAGAGAAAGATATATATGGGGAGGGGGGTGATCGTACAGATTCGGGAAGATATTTGGGAGGCAAAAAAAGATTCGATGACAGAGTAAGATAGATAAATAGAAAAAGAGAGAGAGGGAGAAACAAAGATAGAGAGTGAAAGAAAACAAAGAGAACAGGGGAAAAAATCAAATGAGGAAAGGGATAAAATAAAAAAGTAAAAAATGTGTAAGAGAAAAAAAAAAGAAAGAAAAGAAGTAATAACCGAATTGAACAAATGTCAATAATAATCGTCAGATTCGTTCGAGGAAAGATTTCAAATTGAACAATTAAAGTAATAAAAAAAAAAAAAAAAAAAAAAAAATAAGAAAAAAAAGAATGATATACACAAGTCGACACTTATATAAACATTTTCAAATAGGAAATTTTTAAACGAGGTTTATGCGTAGAATCAACGCTAAGGGTCCTCTTCAAGAATAATGAGTCTGAAGAAGATAGAAGAAGAGGGAAACAAAAAGAAAAAGGAAAGAAAGAAGAAAGAAAATCTAAGGTTAATACGATTCTCTTCTGAAGAAAGATGTTTTTCTAGTTTACGTAAAACGATAGAACAAGGATCGTCGATAGACGATGGTGTCTCTGGTGCCATTTTGATCCTTGAATGACAACGCGAAAAACATTAATTTTATATTACATGAAAAAAGAACGAATGGTTGACGACATGTCGATCGCTTCCTTTGGTTGATTCAATAATCGGAACAACAATTTTTATATCTTTCCAACATCATTGAAGATTTTACGTATTGCAACCAAGAGGAGGGTCGCATGCTGTTCAGATCTAAGTGATCGATTTGAATCGGTCTTGAATCGATCACGATACTTCAATAGATTCGTTATTTTTCTGTTCTCGCGATGTGTTATTTACAGAATAGAGAAAGACAGAAAGAAAAAAATGAGAGAAAAAGAGAGAGAGAGAGAGAGAAAGGGGATGAGAAAGAGATAGAAAGAATAACGAAGAGTAGTGAGAGTGAGACAAAGAGACATTCGACGTCGATGTCAACTCATCGAGAATATTTAGGATGATATTTATAGAAGGGTGATTCTGGAGAGATTTTTTTGAAGGGGGCTGAGGGGGTGAGGTTGTGCAGTTGGGGGTTGCGGACGACCGTTGATGCACTCACTCGCTACTCTTCAGATGTTCGCCTTGGTCCATGGAAAGACAACCGGCGCCACCACCGAAACCATAGCCCTTAGGGCCGAACTTGCGGGCATGGCAGACTTTGCAGAAAAGCTCACCCTCGTGCTCGGAGCAGTTCGTCGAGTCGAGAAGCTTTCCGCAAAGACCTGAAACATAACGTCAATGCGTCGTTCTTCCAACCGAAAATTTGTTTTGTTTTGTTTTGTTTTCTTTTTTCTTTTTTTTTTTTTTTTTCTCTAGATCCATCAAAATTCACCACGACGATTGAATCGTCGAGATTAGTGTCGTTTTTTAATTAATCTGTTAAAAAGTAATTAACCAGCAAAAGTATCCATTTATATAGATCATTATTCTGATACATGAAACGTCTTTCAATTTAATGATATATCAATTAATTAATGATACCGATATCATAGATGTCGTAATAGAAAAATTTTACCCTATATAATCGTCTTTCAATTCGAAGGAAAATTTTCAAAACCGGCGCTTCTAATCTTTCAGAATGATTCATATACGTAGATCGAGACCTACATATATAAGTTGAATTGGCAGCAGCATTGAGTGGACCAAAAGTGTTGCAATCGAACGACTCATGTTTTAAATATAATCATGATCCTGTTTCTTTCCCGAGTTTACTCTCACTATTGTAGACTATTGGCGCTTTCATTTTGTAAAATTCTTTTCTTTACTTTTCAATTCGTGAGTTCATTCAATGATCACCGACGTTGATCTTATCACCTATATTGATCTTATTTATTCTTTTTTTCTTATCACTTTACTGTTACCGAACGTGGATAGCTATACGTAAGATAATAAAGTTAACAACAGGATATTTAAAGAGAAAATGAAATCGCACATTTACTCACCGCACTTAAAGCACATTTTGTGCCACTTCAATCCTCCGGCAACTCGTTCCTCAGCGGCGTAAACAGATTTGCCGCATTTGGGGCATTTTGGATGCTCGACTGGTTTGAAAGGCATCTTGTATATACTAGAAAAAAGAAAGAAGAAAAAAAAATGAAAAAAAAGAGATAAAAAAGAAGAAGAAGAAATAACAAACAAAACGAAAAAAAAAAATAAATAAATAAATAAATAAATAAATAAATGAAATGGCAGATGTAAAGGTTGCAACTCGATGGATAAAAAGAAAATCACGAGAAACGAGATCGTTCGTACGACGATATTAATATGATAACATTTATAAATAAAACAAACTAAAATTTCATTGAAAGAAATAACATAGCCATCATCGTTAGTTACGAGATTTGCTAAGTCGAGTTATCTAATCGTGCGATGCGTAAACAATCTACTTCCGCCGTTCCTCCGCAACCGTGGTTATTTCCGTGATCAGCCTAAGACACTCGCTCAACGTCCAGATCCTCCCACCCTCTCTAAGAAATACCACCTACTAACGTTTACATGCTTTCAACTCGTTCTCCTTCTTTCTTTTCACTTGGGATAAGTATAGAACGTCTAAAAGAGGACACGATGAGACATAGAAAAGAAATAAATTAAAAAAAGAGTTAAAGAAAATGTTTACCTAATTCGAATTAATTTAGGAACATTGCACTTGAGATAGAAAATTTATTCCCTCGAATTGGCTTAATTCCTTTCAAATAAATATCGACAATAATAACTGTATTTAACACTGCGAATATTTGTATGAATGACTCATCATTGCAAAACAGTCTAAATCCAAGAAATACAAGAAAATTCTCTTAGTAGTGGCAGCAGCTGTTTTGGTAGTATCAGTATGGCAGGCGGAGAGTAGTCATAGAGGAGGCGGTGGATATTCTATATCCGTGCGGACGGAGGCAACACGACTTGCGAGGCCATTTTAGGGAAGACTCGTTAGGTACTCCACGAGAGAGAGAGAGAGAGAGAGAGAGAGAGAGAGAGAGAGAGAGAGAGAGAGAGAGAAAGAGAGAGAGAAAGTTACTACCGCCATTACAAAATTTTCATTCTTTTTAATCAATGTATATATATTTTTGTTCTATATTTGTTTACGATGCACTTACTCTATTAGCTTTCCAAATAAATTTCAAGTAATAAATTCAAATGAGAGAGAATAATCTTATCCTTACTATAACGTTTTATGTTTATATGATATATGAACATAAAGAAAAAAGAATAGTAATTCCGATTATTAGCCCGTGATTATTTACAGATCAATATATCCAAAAATAAATAATGCACATCCACCGTTTTATTCTTCTTTAATAATCTATTATCATCTTACGTATATATATATATATATATATATATATATATATATATATATATCTATTCACGATTAATTACAATTATAAAATACAATAAAGAATTATTATTCTTCTCGAGAGGATAAATATCATTTAACAAAGTTATTAACTTGTCTAAATGTCTCACGTGTATTTTCTTTATTTTATCTTAACACTTGGATCATACAAAACGAATGAATTTAATGATCATTTCAATGTTTTCATTTGGATCGAACCCAATAAACGTGACTCATTCATATCAATAATACTTTGTATCTAAAGAGAAAAACGTGAGAAATGATTAAACGATGAAATTCTGATCAAAGGGAGAATCGAATGAAAAAAGGTATCACCGTTGTTACATATCTATGTTGTTGCTAGATTGTTTTTCGATAGTTACGAGTAGTACGAGTCAAGCATTTACGCTTGTCGAAAGAAACATCAAGTCGGTGGTTAAGTTCGATGATTAATTACAATGGCAAAATTTCAACGACACAATTCTTTTCAATATCACAATCGATGAGAGACAAAAATAAAAGAAATGATAAAAATATTGAAAATAAAAATCCCTCGTTATCACGCGTAGAAAAGAAAAATGTAAGAAAAAAAAAAAAAATATTCTCTTTATCGTTAACAGCGAGTAGTAACGATACGTGCAAGTAGTTTACTTTTTGTTTCCTTTTTCCTCGTTCCTACATACCACTGATGCAACCAAACTGAAAATCGCGTGAGTATAAAAAAAGAACAGAAAAAAAAATAAAGGAAAAGAAAGAAAAAAGAAAAAAAAAAGAGAGAGAGAGAGAAGCAAGAAATCTCGTTCCGTTTTCGTTCTTTTCTTTTCTTTTCTTTTTTATTCGTAATTTCTCGTTCGTTGCACTTGAATGAGTACTCACCACTAACGGTACGTACGAGTATTTCGAAGAAAGACACAGAAAAACGTGGATGTATGTGTATGTATAAGAGCAACGAAGATTACGGTAGATAAGAAATGAGATGGATGGTTAAGTTAAAAAGCACCGAGCACTCTACACCGCACTAATACTGGATTCGAATGGCCGTCCCCGTCTCGGAACCGTCCTAGTCATACCGTCCGGAGTTTGCACACGGCACGTGTGCATCGGAACTTCAGTGATGTCGACGACGTCGGCGTCGACTTCGATGGCTGTCCGCGGTGGTGGTGGCGAAGAACCAACGGGGTTCTAGCATGGAAGACTCATCAACGAACAACGGACGAACACACCGATCTTTCAAAATTACGTCTTTTCAAAACGACATAACTATATCGAAGCTGAACGATTTATCTATTGGACAGATCGAGAGAGAAAGAAAAAAAAAGAAACGGAGATTAAAATAAATCAAAGCGAAATGTTAACGTTATAAAATCATATTTATGCATTTTGATTAATTAACTTTTCTATACAAATATTTGGACACAATGGAATCGAGATTAAAATGATACTTGGCAATTTTTTTTAATGATATACGTTCTATTTTTTCTTTCTTTCTTTTTTTTTTTTTTCTTTTTTCTTTTTTTAAGAGAAAGAAAAGTGGAAATATTTTGACTTTTCGTTTGAAATATCAACGAAGGATAATCATTAAACAGCAATGGAATTCAGATAATTGTTATTATTCAACACGTGAATGTAATTTTCAATTGAGACTGGATACTTAACAGGAGTCTGATTAACAGGAATAGAGAAACACGAAATACATACGTCATGTTATTAGAGTTTCTTATCACTCGAACGAATTAATACAACGTGGAATTAATCTGTTGGCATGTACGAAGATCCGTCTCAAAGTAAAGATAAATTTATGCTCTTTTCGATACATATATATATATATATATATATATATATATATATATATACACATGTAGAGTTACAAAAGTACTCCGACTTTGTTGACACTGACTGAACTCTTGATATGCTTTAGAGTAAATACATCACTACAACTATGTATGTTTTAACTACGCTTTCAGTTGGCAAAGAGTTATCCTCAAAGCTATTGACCGTTACCTTCACCAACTAAAATATATTCTCACACAAAATAAGCATATGAACGTTAAAATATACTAATTGTCATACGTATTTCTATATTTTTTAAAAGTTCTATAGAGCTTGAAAAAAAAAAATTGTCATTTATCTACTACATATATCTATTGAAAATCTTAAAAATAGTTATATCACATTAAGCTCCGTCCTACGTAATTTCTATATTTCTAACGACGACGCATCGATCGGCTTAACGCGATATCCCTTACGCATGCATACACTTTAATAGATAAACTATCTGGCAATCATCGTATCAAGGATTATAGATGTAACGGATTACTGTAACATAAGTTCGTCTTTCTTAACGCAGAATTGGCAATGCTCGGAGAAATATTAAATTCGGTACATCGAGTAAGAGGGATATTTCAGCATTTACCTTGAAAAATATTCGTCATCGCTCAGCTACGGATGCACGGAAAATCTGGGCTTCTTGCCTAATTCTTGCTTGTATTTCTGTTATCGAATTACATGTCACGATCGAGTGACATTCCATAAAATTTATCGGATCGATAGTCGGACTATGTTTCTCATTAACGTAGAAGACTATCAAGGCACGGCGCGTTATTTGTGGTACGTTGCTTGAACTTGTACCCAGCAACTAAGTAAGTTACTTTTGTACCACAAACGACGATTTAAAAATATATATGTGCCTAGGTGGAGTATACCTTAAGCTAACTTTGGATCCGAGTTATGAAAGATATTTTTGAATCGTATTATTTGAATTATATCAATTCATACATGTGCATCGTTCGTATCTAACACATCTTCGAATTTCTAAATTCTGACTCTTCTAGAGAGTAACTCGTTTAGAATGCATTTCAGTTTGACCTAAGTGATTTATCGACGTATTTACGTTCTCTTACTTTACGCACCTCATTTTCTTAGATTCATATTATGTCTCTCATTAACCAATATCCACCAACTGACCCCTAAAATCTCGTTATAGTTGACCTATTTTAAGAAGAGATCGACCCGAGTAAAGAGATAGTATAGTCGAAACGTTCTTATATTTACAGACACAACAGGAATTCCAATGAGATTACGTGTCGTACGTGAAACATCGCGCCGATTAAATAATCTCTAAACAAGGTTGTTACAAAAGAGAATGTGAAATATTGATCTCGTACTATAAATCGTAAAATCTCTTCGACGCTGGCAAACGATTTTAAATGCTGATTTCGTTTGATCTTTCGTATATCCTACATGCGATCCCGGAAAAGCAGATCCTTATCGATGATTAAAGTATCAAACAGTGGGAGGATCTATGCTGGACAACGGTGCCAATTTTTGTTCTCTTTCTCTTTTTTTTTTTTTTTGTTTTTTTCCTTTTTTCTTTTTTAACGAACATCTTTTCAAGGACAAACTCCGTAAGATTCACCTCTATAAATACACGCATCTTAACCACGTGAAGAAACAAATCGCATATAAACATTGAAGAAATACTAATTCCGCAGTACGCGTGACTCGAAGTTAAGGTAAAGGTCGCTTCGCCGATGGAGGTTGTTGGAATGATCTTCCTGAAAAAACGTAATAAAACATATTTGAATCCGAGTTATGTATTATTTTGTAAGAACTTATTTGTCTCTTTTTTCGTGGAAAAATACGTCGGCAAGTTTGGTGGATAAACGAAGCGTTTTATTCAAAAATAAATTCATCAACGTCTTTCTTGGATATCTATGTACGTCCAAGAGGGAAGACATATTACTTGAATAATATGCATATGCGAGAGTTATACAAACGTATCCTTTTACACTTACGTTACCGTGCACCTGATTCCTGTCCGTCGGATCTTCTCCTCGGACTGAGTCATCGTACGTGTAAGTGTCTCGAGGGCGTCTGCTAAGTCACATGCTAAATTTGGTTAGCTTAGCATTGGGATTGTATTACGCGCGTGGGTTTATCCTAATATTTCGGGAGGCACAGAGTAGCAACTAGGTCATCCTCTTTCTATACTTATATCTGCTTCCCTGAGACGCTTAGTCTTTCCTCGTACATAGTACTCTAAGTCAGCCTTATATCCTAGCTCCTTCATAACAGCAAAAGAAAAGTGACAGAAATGCGTCGAAGAGAAGGGGTAACGTCCTGCTTGGAATGTCAGATCTTTATTATAGCTATCGCAGGCACGTGTATTACATAAAGCTTATTATCCGTGAAGGGCGATATCACTTTCCCTGAAACAACAACAATAACAATAACAACAACCATACACGATCGTACACCAAAGTTATCACTCTCATTCTTATATTCGATACATATGTATTAAGTTTGGCTTTATAGTTGCATAAGATGAGAACATGCATACTCAAAAATTGTGTTACATTAAACATTTTCTCTCTCTCTCTCTCTCTCTCTCTCTCTCTCTTTAATTTTCATCCGCTTTTTTTCGCTCGCATTATTTTCTACATAGTATATATCCGCAATTTTATTTTGTCAGATTAAAAATCATCATTTAGCTTCCTTCATAGAGAATAAATAAAACTTTATTCATCGATACCTCGTTTGTGTATATAAAGCATTTCAGCATGCAAAGGAAGTTGTTGAAGTTGCACACAAAAAGCAGATTATAATTAGAATTCTATAAGGTCAAACATAAAACAAAAAAAGAACTATTCTTTCGACATATATTTTTAATAGCACTGCAATATCTTAACAATAATTGACTGAAAACTTGTTTATTTGTTTTCAGTAGGTAAATAACTCAATATTATAGATACATTTATAAAGGGGAAAAGATTTTAGAAGCCAATTATTACATCCAGAGTGACAAATATTTATGATTCAGTTAAAAAATAAAATCTTGCAACATTTATGAAATATTAATAATTAATGTTTCTTAGGATCTCAACAAACCGAACATATCACAGATATGTAATTCCTGTGCAACAGGTAATATCCAGGCATTATATAAGAAAATTATAATTACAATGGATAACGCATAAAATCATTATATATATATATATATATATATACATATATATATATATATATATATATATATATGTCACAAAAATTGTATAATGCAGTGATAATATATTTTTAGTGAGAAATGATATATTATCCATATATTACATAATATAATTTAAGACATTGTATATTATGCTATATTCATTAATAAATGATCATGAATGCCTGGATCGGTTATATGAATTTATCTAGACAAGTATCAAAATACTAAAATACATACGATCAAGGCCATAAAGGAAAATACTTTTTAATTTTGAAAATCATTAAGCCTGCTTCTGGTATTACTAGACATTATCTTTGACCAAATTTTTTTTTGTTATATTTGATATGGAAATTTTATAGAAAATTACTATTCAAATGACATAATCTACAAAACTCGTTGATCTAATATCTATTTTTCTGCAATTTCATTTTTGCAAAATTTCGTTGCATTCAACCAATCAAAATATTTATACAAAATTTATTTTAACTTAATTATTATCATCTAATTACTAATAAGAAATATTTAAACTTTACAATTTAAATGTTTCAAATTGTAATAATAAATTTATATATTATTTATTATCTTATGTTCTGACATAAAAAAAAAATGTTAAATAAAATAAAGAAAATCAATGTACAGCAAAAACAAATAAATAGAGCGTTATCATTACTTCATTAACTTTTTGTACAATAAATTGAATACTACTAATGACTTCTCAATGAATAGATCACTCTTATAATATATTTCATTGACAAATGTAATAAGAAGCACTATCATTATACATGCTACATGTTTTTCCTTTTATTCCTTGAACAAATATGTTTTATTTATTAAAAAGTATTTTTCCTTGTTACCTATCAAGTAAGACAATACCTTAATGACCTTTATCATTGCCTATTTTAATACGATGTGTAAATTTGAGATACATGTACATAAAAGTACTATGTATTATTTATACCTTACAGCTTATTTGGGACATGAAATATTTTCATTTTTTATGGTTTAACATTAGAGTCTAAATCCGAGTGGTTCAAAAAGCCAGTCTATATCTAAAATTGCTTTTTGCTTTGTTTGTTACTGTCTTTTGTTTTTTTCTTTTTTACATTTTGAACTTTCTCATCGGTGAAATAATTCTTATTGTAAGATGTTACATATAAAAAAAAAAAAAAAAAAAAAAAAAAACCATTGAGATTCAGACTCTATCCCGTATTATCATAAGATTAAATAAAAGTAACTGCGCAGCCCTTATGTATATGTAGTAAACAAAGCATCAACAGCTTACTGTTATTTCTTATATCATGTCTTATATAGCATCTTACATATGGAACTTTTTTCACCATTACAATGTTCCAATCTATTCATCTTCAATTTCAGTCTGTAGAAGATTTTACGCGTCTACGGTGGTGATTTCGAGCTAATGCATGAATAATTGTCACTAGAAAATAGCACACCATCAATATTACAAATTTATCAAAAAGCCAAGAAATCGTTGTTGTTCCATCCTAAAAAAATATAACATTGACATATGTTAATGAACTTAATATAATAAAAAATAATTTAAAGGCTTCACTTGATAAACTAACCATTGATTTTTTACTATGTAATTTCTGTTTTTGTTCAATAAGGTACTTTTTAAGTGGTTCTTGAAAATGCGAACCGACAAAGGGCACAATAGCCAATAGGCTAATAAATTTATCTAAAAGCTCTTCATTAAAAGCTATTATCACTGCTAGCTGTTGTATGTGCATTTTAATAACTGCTTTTCCTATAAGCGTTGCACCAAAAAATGTCCAAAATGGAATAAGATAATGTCCACAAGTCAAGCCAGCAAGATCAAATAATGGATTAGGTATCTGTTTAAATTAAAACAAAATAATATTTTAATTTAGATCACATATAAATGTTTCAAATAAGATATAAAAGAAAAAAAAATGTATAATCATACCGATGCACAAGCCAAAATACCCCAGAAACCAGCTTTTTGAACAAAATGTTTCATAGTTAATTTCAAACGCATTATTAATGGCACATCTTCACCATTCTCTAATGCCTCTAAGGCTTCTAATTCCTTCAAATCATCTTGGGCAGCTTCATCGTTTTTATTACTTTGTCGACTTGTTCTTGCGGCTCTAGCCATAAAATATGGTGGCAATTCACCAAGTGCAGTACCAGCACCCCAGAACATAGCCTCTACCCGTACTTTTCTCATAATATTTAATATACCCGCTGTCCATAATGGATCAATCATCGTTGGACATACTATTTGATCTGGGTATGGTGGTTCGGGAAAATTTAAAGACCCACACTCATATGCTGCCATAGTAACGGCTGCTATATGAGGTCCCAAATAAAGCACAAAAGTGTGTAAGCCAGTACCAAGGCCTACACTAGACAATACACCCAAACCTACCCAGTACAACCACCATATAACTTTTGCTTCCCATGCTTTAAATGTCTGCAAAATTAATAAAACGCATTTTTTGTATTAAACAATTTGACAATGAGAAATGTATGAATATATTTAAAAAAAAAAAAAAAAAAGAACTTACTTCTTGCTGTGGTCCTGAAATTCTACTTAATAACAAAAATAATGCTACGAGCGAAATTGTACTCAATACAGTTCGCTTATAACGTAATGTTTTCTTTCCTAATGAGAGTATATCGAGTAACAGTTCTCGAAAGAAATAGTTTAATGTTGTGATTGGATGTTGCCATAATGTTAAATGATCCGCATCTGCACACACTTCATTATGCTGTACACAATTTGTTTCTTGATGCGTTACTGTGGATGATATTTTTTCACTCGTAGTCCATTGTGCTCCATTAGTGGACGCAGAATTCTTAGCACGTTGAACAGCTGTCGTACTTTCAACCATCTTTTCTAGTTGAATCTGAAAAGAGAATAAATAGAAAGAAGAAAAAAAAAATCCAAAAATAAACGGCATAACAACAATACAAATTTTACGATTTCACAAGTCTTGAATTTTTTGTATTTGTTGAATAAAACAAAATGCATATATATTTATCAAGCGTCGATATCAAACACATTAAAACTTGTTCCGTTTAACTATCAAAAACTCTTATAATACTTTTGAAATATCAATTGTTGTCTTAAAAAAAAAAAAGAAAAAAAAAAAAAATAAATAAAAGCCACATACGATCCAAAAAATACAATGTACAAATGAATATTTCTTTACTAATTTCAATACCGTTTGTCGAGAAGCTATTATTTTAATTATTTTAACAATAAATCCAAGATCAAATAATTAGTTCTAAATAGTCTAAATATAAAATAATTTTACTTCTTTGCATTCATCGGTATTTATGTCGATAACAACGTAATCTTTAAAAAGACTATCCTCAAAAGAACTAGTCATGCTACTCTTTTAGTTTTAATAAAAATAAAAATCGGATGGACGTGTTTAGTAAGATAATGTCATTGAACCAAATACTTAAATAATAATATTGTTAACTTCAATAATAACACACAAATGAAGCTTAAATCAAAGGTCACGTGTATGTTGGTGCAATGATTTACATAATTGCGTGAACAAATCGCTTATTAAAGTTTTGTTTAAATAACTCGTGTTTCTTTTTTCATTGTGCTCATAAAGTTATTATTTTCTTTTGTTCATAGATCAGTGTACCTCATAATGTCTCATGTTTTTTTTCTTTTTTTTTTTTTTTTTTTTTTATAATCGTTATCAAACAATCGAAAATTCGTCAAAGAAATATACGCGTATATTTATATATTTATTATATTGCGGAACGGACTATAACTTCCGTTTATAGTGCAAATATAATTTTAGTTGAGTCACGAACGATATACTTCTAACAAAAAAAAAAAAAAAAACTTAACGCTTTAGATTGATCAATTTGCTCGATTAAACTAATACCAAATATTATTTCATTTTAATCGCTTAAATCTTTCGTAAAGTATCAAAGAGGAAAGAGGATCTGAAAGAAGCATAAAGCATTTCGACATTAAAAAAAAAGAAATAAATATTATTTACTTTACAATAGAATTGCATCTATGCTATATTGTTGAATTATTTGACCTCGGCGAGTTAATCTAGAACGAGTAACTTTACTTTATCGAGTATTTATTATACGACGTGTTAAAGATAGTTAGCGATAAAAAAAAAAAAGAAAATAAAAAAAAAAGAAAAGAAAAGAAGAAAGAAAAAAATATATAAATAAATAAAAAATAAAAAAGATTGCAAGCACTCTAGCGTTGTTCATAAAATATAAAAATAACTTGAAAGAAAATAATGAACACTCGAATGGAGAACAGATGAACGTACTTTTTATTAGAGCTTCTATTAACAAAGACTTTATAATTACGTGAAGAGGAAGAAAAAAAATAAGGGGAGTAAAAAAGAAAAGAAAGAAAAAAAAATAAACTGTAGAGATCTCAGGATTCATCGATTAAAGACTTAAAAATGACGATAAGTTTAAAATAAATACTCTATCACAAGAGAATTTGACACATCTACCACAAGATTGTCATCGATAAAGTGACCATTCTGGTTTTTCTACGACGAATTTAATACGTAGAAACTATCGTTCCTCTTTAACGATCGAACAAAAGCAAAATAAAAAGAAAACGATAAAACAATCTTATAAAGCCTCTAAGCATTGACTTACATGTTTGCTAAAGGGAATATACTTCGATTTTATTTAAAGAGCCTTTCAAACTTTTATATCCAGCATGAAGGAAGATGTCAAAAAGAAAATAAGAAAGAAGAAATAGAATTGTTCATTCTATTACATAATAAATCGTCGTTTCTGTTTGACTGTCGTATCGAGACTGGACGATGATTTAAAAACAATTCTCTTTTCGTCTAACGTCACCTTAATCTTGTTGCCTGTGAAAGAGGAAATGAGAGAGAGAGAGAGAGAGAGAAAAAAAAAAAGGAAAAAATATTCCAAAACGAATTATTAAGCGTTAACACGACTTTATGGAGCAATGGAAAGATTCATAATTTCCAAATATTCAAAAAGCTCTAAACGAGATAAAGGAAAATAGAAAAAAAAATCCCTTTTCTTCTTGGATAGATTGAATTAATTATATTAAGCATTCAATGATTGTTGTTCAATCTCTCAAATTGGCAATCTAATTAAAGGGTATTAAAAAAACTCTTTTATTTTAGCCGTGTACTTACACAAATGTATACGTTCAAAATTAGAGCTCCTTTTTGGAAATACCCTTTGCATTGCCAATTTTTGCCTGTAAGGCAAACAATTTTAATATAATTCCATTATCTACGAACAAATTAACATCATTTTATATTCATATTTAATTTTTCTTTACTTCTCTTTAATTTAATGTAGTTATTCAGAAGGGAAAAGAAAAAAAAAAAATAAAAAAAAAATAAAAAAAGATAATATCGTCGTTATTGCTAGTTATTATCAAATAATATCAGTTCTATTCAAAGTTTAATAGGTTAAATACATAGTAAGAGATAATTTAGTAGTCTACTATATAAAAGTAATCAATTATTTACTTCTTTGTGTGTTGTAGATAGAAACTTGAATGTATAGATTAAGTGACAAATTCAAGTAAAAAAAAATTAAAAGCATTGTATATTTTTTGTTATTTATAAAACGTAATAATTTTTTTTTTATATTATCGTGCAGAAAAAATATGATTTCATAGAAATGTATATTAGACATTTTTTTTCTTTTTTTTTTTTTTTGTAAGAACTTGTATGAAAAACATAAGGCAAAGTATTTTTGATTATTCATCTTGTAAAGTTCAATATGTTTTGTTTAATTCTTTTGATAATCGAATAAATATAATCAAGTTACCTTTGAATCTCAGTGTACTGCCACTAATATTTGTTGAAGGTTAATGAAAACTCAACATAACATGGAATTATTTAAAATCATCCTTTGTGAAATTACACATTTACTCCCAATATGAACAATTTATCAGTCACGTTACATTATTTTAAGATCCCATTTTACTTATCCCAAAATATCATAAGTTGTATAATAAAATTATCTAAAAGCGTCGTTCCAATGACGAACTGTCTTTAACAGCGTTATTTAAGGTTCTGTTAAAAATTTAATTTTAACTTATATTAATGTATGGATACACAGTACTACTCGTTACCGTTTGACGACTATGGTCTATGCATGCTTCTATGCTACATTTCTTGTCGGATTTTTATCAAATTTTACTGGATAGGATACACCAATTATATTTACAGTAACAATGTGTATAAGATATGTAATTGGTTGAGAGGCGTTAACATTGCATTTACGACCGATAGCGAATAAACTCGTGGCATATGATCAAAAATACTTAGACCAATGAGAAGCGTTTACAAAATAGCTACATTGTCATGTGACAAAGATCTACGTCTTCTGATTGGCCAAAGATAACTGCAACGTGATGCGAAGAAAAACAATGAAAATATATTTTTAATTCAAATTGATAGTGACAATATTCTTTTTAGCTTTATATATCTGATACATTTTTTATTATTTTAATATATTTACCAATTAAAGTAATAGTATGTTACTATTACTTTTAACAAAATCATTGTTAATTTGCGAATATATCAATTAGCCATTTTGTGCATATGTTTCAAATGATATTGAGCGGGAAAAACAAAAAATTTCGATAAATTATAGCAACTCGTTCAAAAATTTAATTTATACATATCAGCAGATAAATAATGAACGTTGCAAGAAATATTGTTTCTATGAATGATGATTTGCGCCAGGTGAGCTTATTTCTTTATACTATAATACACAATTTTGTATAAAAACAGTTTTATTCATTCTAAACTTATGTTAAACATTTATAGCAAAATCTTCAACGGAAAAGATCTTTTATGAAATTTAGTTACATATCTGCAACACAATATAAAAATTAATTTCAATATTGAAATATTCCACTTTATGTTATTAATAATCTGTTAACAAGATTTTGCTATTGGATAAATTTATATTGACATTTTGTTAAATAGAACATGGAATGAAATGAATGTAATATAAAAATTAAAAATTGCTATTAATGCTATATATATATATATATATATATATATGTATATATATATATTTCATATGTATATACTGCACCGAGAGGAAGCAAAAATTTGTTTATAAATTAGTGCTCATTGTCAAATGAATATTTGATAGAAATATATTATTTCCATAGTAATTCATAAGCATTATGAATAAAATCTAGTCTATTTGTTCAGCATTAAAACTTGAACTTGCCACGTAAGTGAACGATAAGACTTAATAAGTATCATTTTATACACATGAGATTAATAACTTATACTTAAGTGATATTTTATATACTATATATTGTAAACTTAAGCGTATATAGTCTGTTAGATGTGGCAGTTTGATCTAACGTGAATATAAAGTAGCTTGCATATAAAAAATTTTTCAGAACATAAAAGATGTTTAGAGTAAATCGACATAATATAAGTCTTCTCACAAATATATTACTTATGCATATAACATTTATCAGAAACTATGACTACCATTGCAAATGAATTAGTAATATTATTTTGCTTTTAATTTGTTTTCTTATGTGCAAACATTTGTTAACAATAATAATTTAAAAAATGTGCTATACCTTCAATGAAAAATAAAAAAAAGAAAGAACTGTTTTATTATTCTCTGCTCAAAGGTATAAATTGTAATCATTTTAAAACATTGTATTATAAAAAAATTATTATTTATATTAAAATGAAAAATAATGGAATATAGGAATTTTTAAACAGTGATAATCTCTGTTATAATATTGCAATAAAATACTTTAGAAAAGAAAAAATTATCAATAATTTACAGCTATATATGGATCATATATAGTACAATTTTAACAATAATAATATCTGTCACGTTTCGATTTGTACTGAGATAATAGGCATATACCTGATCTCGAAAATTAAAATCACCATTAGAGCACAAAAAGATAGTTCAAGTATGGGGAGTTTATAATTACATTGTCTTTGTAAATTTCAACTGAGCCAGCTCAGTATTTCAGCACTGCTATTGATCAGCAATAAAATTTGATTTTATCCATCAGTTAATCTTGATGAAACTATATCAAACAATGAATTAATATATTCAACATCACAATTTCCAATATAAATTTATAGAATGTAGGTCTGTGATGTTTTCCTTCTTACTTATGAAGATCTTTCTCATCGATATTCATAATGCTGAGTGATCATTAACGTTTCAATTTATATCTCTCATTTTGTTTAAAGGATATACAATTCTTCTGGGGGTATATACAAGACTCATATATATAGCACACTTATTTTATTAAGCAATATGCTTTTCTGTTAAGCAATAAAGAATAATAAAGAAAGTGTTCGAATAATGTAATACTTATTCAAAATATCAGAATAAATTTATCATAATAATTTATATCATAAGTTATGCTAAATACTGAGCCACATTACACTATTTCATATAATTATATGTCTTAGGAAAGGTACCATTAATATTATGATCTGCCAACATTAAACATATTTTTGCACAAGGCACTCTGTAAACCCATGAATATATATACATACATACATATATATATATATATATATATATATATATATATATATATATAAATTATTGTAAAATTTTGTTCTGACTATAACAAATAATATTTGCAAAATTTAATAAAGAATGACAGAGAACACAGGTTACAGAAATTCAATATTGTCTATGTATCTCGATTTATGAAACAAGATGAGAGATGAAGATCACAAGTACTGTTTAAAGATGTCAAACAATTTCTATTGTATCCACCAGTGGTTGATTGGCATTTACAGCATGAGGTATTACGGCTGTGCTGTAAAATATATGTATATATACAACATTAATATATAATATTTGTTATTTTTAAAAGCAACATTGTAAGCATTACAATACTATAATATATATGCTGGTTTGCTAATGGTTTGCTAATGATTTGGTTAGATGATATATAATTATGTTAAATATTATGATAGATCTTACTTAGTATTTTTATAACGAATAAATTTTTATAAAAATGTATAATTAGTAATAATATTTATTACTATATTAAATATGAAGTAAAAAATTAAATATTATTGTATTTTAATTGCGACGTGACCATCCATAGATTTTTCTTTAGAATGTTACAGTGACGTTTATTTTTTATGTTAACATTCAATTGAATACTAACACTTTTATATTATATAATAAATGCCACATGTGTATTATATTTTATACAAAATTTTGTTAATACGTTTTCTGTTTACTTCACGCATTTTGTTGGTAATCAAATATTCAAACAGTTATTCTTGAAATTATACAAGACATGTAGTGCACATTACCCTGTACCAAGTACCAAAATTATGGCTTCTCTTATTAAGTTCATTTGATAAAGATTGGACCTGCAGTCAATCCAAATCATATTACCATATTTACATATTATTCTCTTATATTAATAGATAGATTTTTATCAAAAAGGTATGAATAGAGATATTTTAAATTAATGTACTTATGAAATTTTATATTATTCTTATCATATATTGTCTCTATTAATACCATATATCCATCTCTCATGTATATTTATTAAAAATTAATAATATTTTTATTTATTGGTAGAATTCAAACATGTGCATTTCTGTACAGTATTATTACAAAGGAATAATGTAAAAACAAACATCATGCACAAAGAGAAAAATCTATTTGTTATTATAATAAAACTGTATAATATATACAATTTCTCATAGAATACTTATTTGTGGATTAGCTATAAATAATGGTTATAATGAAGGACCAATGATTATTATAACAACAAAAAATTAGTAATTTGTAGTGATATTCTTCATTTCATTTCAGGTTGTAAATTCATTTAAGTTAGTATAATTTATTTGCATAATTAAATAGTATTTTTATATGATTTCATAACGTGCGCTTTAAGCACATTAACGTGTAAACTTGCTAATAAATGAAATGATTCTACAACACTTATAAATACTTATTAATTTATAATATATAAAAAATTAAGTAATTTTTTTCCTTAATATATTTTGAATACAACTATAAATTCTGACTAATCTAACACCTCAATATAAGGATTCTTGGTCTAGAATACCTGATTGAGACATATAAGGAGATGTGGTGCCAAGTTCTGTTTCATCACCCCATTGTTGGGTTCCATTTCCCAACAGAGTATGAGTATCTTCATTGTACAGCCGCTCGGGAAAATTTACCCCATCTCCGAAACTGTAACCCATACCCTATCTTCTACTCTATGTCATCCTATATTTACCCTAAGTTTACCAGAGATGGCGTAACTAATACTATAATTAATAAGTTTTTCTTAATTTTTTAATACTTATCTAATTTTATACTTGTATTTGTTTCGATATTTACTTTTAGTTGAACAGCCTCTGATCTTATAAAAAATTTGTCTTCAGAATAGTTACGCCACTTCTAAAGTTTTAAAAATATTTTCTTGATGTAAAAACCAGATGCACAATACTTTTAAACTAAAGAGAATTATGTATCAATGAATTTAATTCAACAATCAACAATGAAATACACAATACTAGATATCTATAGAAACATTATACATTTGTACATTAACAAAGAAATTCTTCCAATATTTTCATATCTTAATTATTTATATATATATATATATATATATATATATATATATATATATATATATATATATATTTTTTATATTGAACACTAGTATTGAACTTAAATCTTTTTTGAAACATTTAAATTTAACACATATCAACACTGTTTACAAAATGAATGTATAAATACAATATTAATATAAATGATTCTCTATATCACATGCCTACAATGATTTAGGAAACATCTAAGGAAACATTGTTTCCATGCATTATTTGTATGTCAGTCTTATTAAAATACAATTGCAAAATAATTGTTAAATTAAAGCTTATCTAAGCTATAAAGTCCAACACAAACAAGTAATGTTAGTATTAGCAAGATGGTATCAAAAAAAAAGAAAAATTAGACACAAAGATTACTAAATTTTTAAAGGGCTTAAAGTATTCACAAGAAATATAATATATCGCTTGAATGATTAATGAAAATCTTAAATATAATAATTTCTCTTTATGATTTAAGTTATTTATCATAAATGCAAACAAATGCAACCAGGCATATTTGAAAATATTATTTTACACAATATCATTACTTTGGAACTCCATCAAAAAAAAAAAAAAAAAAAAAAAAGAAAAAAGATGTAAATCTATCAAGAATGCTCAGAGATCTTCCATGTATATATATATTTATATATATATATATATATATCGATCGCATATTTTATGAGTATTGTATGAGTTCCACAGTAAAGAATTGATGTTGTTACTACAATTGTATTTGACCTTTCTAAAATGCTGACCTGTTACGAGTACTGCCCATGGAATCATAAGTATTCGTTATGCCCTGGTGTTGCGAACGTACTGGATAGGTGACACCATTTCCAAGACTAGAACACATCCAATGCATCCAACCCAATTTAAGAATAATAATCGTTATTTAAATTTTCAAGAACTACTGAAAATACTGTATCGAAAAGTCCTATTAATATATTTTTATCATTGATAAATTCGTATCTGTGATAAAAAAAATCACAAATATGAATAAGAAGATATGTTTTCAATGAAAAATATCTATTTTAATCAGCATATGATACACAGAATGTGTCCTTTGCATAATGTAACCACTGGAAACATTACGAGATATATGATGCACTTAAAGAGCGTTATATAATTTTTCTCTCCATAATGAAAATTATATCTAATGAAAATTAAATAACTAAAGTCTAATCTATCTTTCTTTTGTACTATACTATTTCCACACATGCAACAGCATGAAATAGATGTGTAACATAAAAAAAAAAAAAAAAAGAAAGAAAGAAAGAAAAAAAGGAAGAAAGAAAGAAAAAGAAAAATATATAAGTTCAATCAATTCTACCTATTTTTCTTCCTCTGAAATTCATGCAAATTTTGCTTTATTTATTATTCATATATATTATTTAATTATTTATCATTATAGTTTATAGTTTTATTGAGAAAAACTTATCCCTATCAATAATGAATGAATAATGGAATTATATAAGTTATATTTTAGGATAGAAAGTTAGCCTTGGTGTTTTACAAAGGCACATAATGCAAAGAAATATCTTCTGTGCATTTTCAGCAAATATATATATATATATATTTATATATATATGTATATATATACTTCCAACAATGTCATGCAAATTTTGTGCAATGAATTATTGTTTATTTTCATAAAATATAATATTTGAAATGGATCTTGCAGAAATAAATTCTGGATTTTTTCTAATTTTAAACATGAATCTTTTAGTAATGGCACATCAAATGACAAGGAAAAATATATAAAAAGCAATATGCACAACTACTATTCTAATTTCACATAATTACACCGGTAAAAATGAATGTTTACATTGACATTCAATATGAGCAGATATAAATATCTAAATTAAATTTCATGTACACATAGATTTATTATATTATGCTTGACTTTATTTATACGTCATATAAATATATTGTGCAAATGGTTTCTACTATTTCTTAAAGTAACATTTAATTTAATTATTTATAATATGTATATAATCATAATCAATATAAATCACAAATATATAAAACATATATACTCACCTAGTAAAAACAGGAAGGAACCACAGCCGTGCATTATCGCCAAATACTTCTTGGAAATTATTATATTTTCCAAGACTAAAACCATCTTTGTCTTTTCCTGTGAGAAACATAGGAGGCCTGAAGGCTTCTACAAGTCAATGAAAATAGAAATTAACTACAATTTCATTAATATAATATATAACTTTTAATGTATATGTATTTTTTTTTTTACCTAATGTTGATCTATTATGTAGCACAAGGTAGCAGTGATAAAAGAAAAGAGAATTAAGGCTCACTGCAAACATTAAAGCAGCAAAAAAGAGAAAGAGCAGGTTAAACCTACCCATTCCTTCTAATTCTCCCTATATACAAAAATTTATAATAAAATATTTTGTACATATAATAAAATTTGTCCATTTGAAGAAGTTCACTTACTTTCCAAAAGCGTATAACATATTGTAAAGATGTAGCTATTATAAATATACAATAAAGAAGGGCATATGCCAAGAACAACATAAAAAATTTGTAATTGTGGAAGCCTACACAGTTGTTTATCCATGGGCAATGATGGTCCATTTTTAAGACACAAGTACCACAAATGCTACAATGATGTGCTCGATCCGGCTTTATCAAGTGACATTTCTCACAAAATCGTATACCTATATGAATAATCAATTGAAATAGAAACGTACGAAAATTTTACTCTACATTGTCCATTACCTCCTTTGATAGTACGATTTGTTACTGGTAGATCTTGCGCAAATCTTTCCAAAATCTGTCTAATAGCTTCTTCCGTTTCTGCTTGTTGCAGTTTTTCAATTTCTACCTCTGGTATTTTAAACTGTAAAAAATGAACAAGCCATCACATTTTACAATGTAAAGTATAATTATTTTGATAATATATAATTGTTATAATATTTTCAAATTTTTTTTACCTTATCTGGAACAGATACTAAGTCTGTGAATACCGTCTGCCAATAGGACCATAAGAAGAGCAGAAATATTATGTGGAAGAAAATTAGATAGAAGGCTATAAACAAATATAAAAAAAAAAAAAAGAACATTAATTTTTCTTATCTCTAAATGATAAAATAAATATCTTGAGCTTTAAGAATTGGAATATTGTATGGTATACACACCTTTCTGAATGTCATTTTCTATCCTATCTGAAATAAAGTAAACATCGATGTTTAATTAAGCGAAGATTCAAATCTATATAAGGATACAAATAAGTAATGATAAATGTACGATATGTAGAGCTTGAATCAAACAGTCAATACTATGTTAATAACGGTATAATAACAATGACAAACAATTGTAATAATTATCTTATATCTATGTTTCTATTAAAGTATATATTACTTACAATAACATAGTTGCACAACGAATGCGTAATAAGACCAAACAACGACAGCCAAGATGAAAAGTATTGGAATCCATTTGAGAATTTTTACACACCACCAACATGATTCACTTTGCTTCCCCATTATATTTATCGAATGAATGATATGCATGTATAGTTTAGTGCCTTTGATCCTTTAGTCGGTACATTATTTTTTACACATATTGACCGATATATCATTGCAATAAATCTTTGTAGAAAAAAATCTTAACATAGGTGACAGTATAAAAATTTATCGTATTATGAAAAAACACAACAAATTGCAATCCATTGCACATAACTTGTTTTTACTAATTACGAATGTAGAATATAAGAATATAAATAAAATAAAGGTTACGAATGTTATTTATTTCTGATCATATAATACGACAGAAAATTAACTACAGTAGAACCAATTTCATGGAAAATAAAACAAACTTATGATATTTTGGATAGTATAACACTTAAAGCTGAAATCGCATCCTTGAAACATCACCACAATTCTCTTGTATCCAGTATATCATTGGAATATATAGATAAGTTTGGAAACGCGTTATACGTTTCTTCTTTATTTCTTATTTTATTATCTAATCTGGATAAATGCGATTGGATAATAAGAATTAATGGACGTTCCTCTAATTATTGAATAATAATATTTCTAAGATGGAATCCGATGTTTTAAAAGAACATGATAACGTATATATCACCGTTAACATAATTGATTTTAATTATATTTACAACGAAGATATTTTTAATCGTTTAAAATTCTAAAATAATAATTATAAATTAATTAAGAAATGAAATGATATGAATAAAGATTAAAGAATAATTTATTAATATTAAAGAGATAAAGATCGAATTTAAAAATCATTCGAAGTTTAATACGCCATCTATGAATGTTCCAGCAGTTTTATCTGTGTGTATTTAATACGGTTCTTATCTAAAATATAAAGATAGAGTACCTGAGTACTTTGATAATAAAGTTTTAAATAAATTTTAATCTTGAACTTGAACGTTACGTTTAATTATTCGAAGCTACAGACGAAAATATGGTTTTAAAGTTCGTAAGCAATTTATCTTTTATGTTTTTGGAGAGTCCAAGTTTAATCGAAAGGTACCAACTTGCTAAAGAGGCTGGTTTCAAGGCTGTTGAAAGTGGTTTTCCATTGGGTTTCTCTCTGGAAGATGTTGCTAACGCAAAAAACAAAGCAAATATCGAACAAATCCTTATTAATGTATTTACAGGCACGTTTTGAATAATTAATATAGAAAAAATTTAATTTTATATATATAATTATTGATATTATTTATTTATTTAATTGATGTTTATTTGTTTTACTACGTTGTATTGTAGCCAATCACGGTGAAGGCGCGAAGTTTAAAAAATTCTTGCTCGGATTTTTTAATAATTGCCAAATTTTCATTATCGATCTGTGTCGTTTGTAATATTTTTATTAATTTTATTATTGAAACCTTATAATTTTATTCATTCTTTAGGTGATACGTCGAAAGGCGAATTAGGATTCGCTGCTATACCTGGACAAGAAGAATCGTTTAAAAAAAGCATTGAAACAACCATACAATATGCAAAAGCATTAAATTGTAAATTGTACGTAATTAATGATTATAACTTTTTGATAATTTATTGCAATATTTACATATTTTGTTATTAAAATAATTGATACTACTCGTCTATAGGATACATGTTATGTCCGGAAAAGTAAATAATCCAACTGTAGACAATGATAAAGTTTATGAAAAAAATTTGTTGTATGCTGTAGAGAAATTTAAAGAAGAAGGATTAATAGGTGTTATTGAGCCGATTAATAGCATTACTGTACCAAATTATTATATGAACAATTTTTCAAAAGGTAAAATTTTAATTGATAACAAAAATATATAAAATTATAATATATATATATATATATATATATATTATAATTTTATGTAGATATATAATAATTTCCTTCCATGTTTGTCAAAGGCTTGAACATTGTTAAAAAAATTAACAGCCCTCATTTAAAGTTGCAACTTGATATTTTTCACATGCAACATTGTTGTGGCAATCTTACGCATAATATCGAAGAGTTGCTTCCTTTTATTGGTATGTATTAATAAATTTATCAAATATCTTATTTACGTATAACAATAAAGCTATACTTTCATTATCTTAAATCATTTCAGGGCATATTCAAATAGCTCAAGTACCACACAGACATGAGCCAGATACAGCAGGTGAGATAGATTACAAATATGTTCTCTCATTATTGGAAAATAAAGGTTATCAAGGATACATTGGTTTAGAATATGTACCAAAAACAAATACTGTCGACGGATTAAAATGGATAACAAAATTTGGTTATTCTTTGTAATGTTATGATATATCTTATATACCTGTGGCATATAATAATTTTTAAAAATAAAATATATGTTATGTTACAATTTGTTATTCTATTTTTCATTTTTAATAATATTATTTAAGATCGTTTCTTTTTTCCTTTTTTAACCATAGTAACTTGTTCCGGTAAAGGAAGTTTTAAAGTGAATGTTTTCTTGTCATTTTTGTTAGGCACAGCTGCAATTATTTTGGCAAGATCTATTAATTTTCTAATTCCTATTCGACTATTTAACATAGTTGCAAGTAATTCTAGATCTATTATAAAATCAGAAATAATCAAGCCTAAAATTATACAATGTATGATAGCTTTATCTTTCATACTAGCAGGTCTCAACCTAGAAAAATTTATTATTAATATAGCACAAAGGTTTCTAAAATATAATATATGAAATATAAATGAAAATAAAAATTGTTTACCTTCCACTATAACTTTGTATGCTATAAGTTTCAATAATGTGTGAATTAACTTCTTCCGAATAAGGGCAAATATTAATTCCACGTTTTTTTGCATCCTTTATGGGGATATTTAACCATTTGGAAACTGTTTCAATGTACAATAGAAGAGCTACTTTCTTTATATTATCTGGGTCAGATTTCAAAAATCTTAAGGCGTGCGTGAAAAATTTTGATTTGCTATAAATAAAGTAAAAAAATATGAGTAGATTATCAGTATTGAAAATACAATATATAGATAAATGCAAAGTTACCCTTCAGGAACACGATTTATAGTTTCTTTAGCTATTTCGTAGAGAGTTTCTAATTTATTTTCTGGTATGATATCATTTATATTATAAACGTCTTTTACATTAGTAGCATCTCTGTTACAATGAGGTAAATGTATGTTTGTTATACTATCATTATCTGCTATTTGTGTCTCTAGATCTTCTTTATTTATTTCTATATCTACAATAAGAATAAATCATTTTAATATAAATTTTTTATGAGATAAAAAGTAAATTAAAAAGAAAAAGAAAAAAAAATTAATAATATTAATTATTTTACTTGAAACAGTTTTTTCAAGATCATCTTTAACAGCATTGACATTAATCTTCATTCTTTCAAATTGCTCTGTTTTTCTCTTTACTTTTTTTGAACCAAACTGTTTATTCAATAAAGCAATTCTCTCAGCATCTGTATTTTTATTATTATCTATCACTTGTTTATCAAGAACAGGACTTACAGACCACCTTTCTGCTTGTACCAATCTAATCTTCCCAGTCCTTTTATTATGAAGTACAAGCATTGTTTGCATAAACTGCTGTTTATTATCTGGCGTGTAACCTTTATAAACAATTTGTCCATTGGACACAGCCAGTAATTTCTTTTCTCTTTTTTTATCATAGAAAAGACCACAAGACATGGTCTCCGCTGCTTCATCTTTTAGCTCGCCGTTTTGAAAATTAACTGATAATATAAAACAAATAAAAGACTTAACCTTATAAACAATTATTGTTATTATATTTAATAGTTATTCCTTACATGGAAATATATAAAATACAATCAATTTATATTTAAATTACCGATTATGGGTTTCACTTTTTTAGGTTGTATAATAACCTCATCTATAACGCCTTCTAATAATCGTTTCATTTTCACTATATTTATATTAACTAAATATAAAATGTGCTTTATATTAATATTATCTTCGTTTGTTACAGATGCACAACTTGTTTATATTTACATACAAATATTATACTATTGTTTTAAAGAAATTAACTTAAACACGTGTTCTTTACTTTTGTTAGGTTATACGCTTTGTTGACGCGTTGTTTAGTCTCATAGAGTATCCCGATTGTAGCGTCACCTGGAGTCATCATTATTCAGCGAAATAAAAAAAAAGGAAGAAAAAAGAAAAAAACATACAATATTTACAAAATTGAAAGTGAAAATAATTAACATTCTATGCAGATTATAAAAAAGAAAAATATTTGTTATCTATCTAACCTGATATATTTGAAATCTGATATTAAAAAAAGAAAACTATTGGACATACTTGTAAGGAACTAATGATATATTTATGCGATTGTTTTCGATCATTAAAAAAAGCCTTTTATTTGTGCATAAACTATTCTTGAAAAATACCATTCTTTAACACGATTTAAAAAAAAAAAAAAAAAGCTTTTTCAAAAATTCGAAAGTATGTCCTAGATTAAACCTTCGTTTTTAAAATGAGGCCTTGTTCATCGAAATTGGTTAAGAATTACGCCTGTTCTCATAATTGATGCCGTAAATTTTATAACATTATAGAATTAAGAGCAATGAACAGACTTAAAATGTTTAGTCTCAATATCAGTACTGAGATATAGCAATCGTACGTCGTATATATATATATATTTAATTACCATAGTTCTATAACGACCTCTATATATAAACCAACTTCAAGTCGTTTCGAATATTCAATTTCTCTGTTGCTCTCTTTATGTGATTATCATTTTGACGATGTATATTCATAATATTTATAAATATAATTTATAAATTACTACAAAAATTAAATCTTTAGTGTATTAATTTAAACGTGCCAATCAAATATATTATATTTTGCTATGGTAATTTTAGGTTAACTCGATATTCTGTTGTACAATAAGTAAATAAATGTGACGCATATATTCTCAGTTTTTCTGCTTAAAAAAGGTATGTAAGGTATTATTTTTTTATTATTGTTTTATTTTATGTATCGTAGGCATCGAATGATGGAATTCCACCACCTGCCACAGTACCCGGATTTCCACCGGCAACACCTAATATGACACCTGGTTTTGTACCGCCTATTATGCCTGCAGCATCCTTTATTCCTCCTCCTAGCTTACCGCCTGGTCCACCAGGAATAATGCCACCTCAATTTTCTATTCCTCCACCTGGTTTTAGTTTTCCAATTACCGGTGCACCAGCACCAGAAGCTGGAGTAATAGGTTAGTATATTTTATAAAAGATTTAGTTGATACGAATATTAACTGAATCATTATTTCTTCTTGTGTGGAATATTATAGCAGCACCACCACAAATAACAGCTCCAGGAATTCCACCTCCAACTCCTATAGCAAGTGAAACTGCACCAGGTATACCTGTGTCGTCAGAAAAGAAAACGGATTGGACCGAACATAAAGCTCCAGATGGTCGTACTTATTACTATAACAGTGTTACTAAACAGTCGCTATGGGAAAAACCAGATGAATTAAAAACGCCAAGCGAATTATTGTTGTCACAGTGCCCGTGGAAAGAATATAAATCAGAAAATGGAAAAGTATATTATCATAATGTAACTACTAAAGAATCCAGATGGACTATTCCTACAGAGTTGGAAGAATTGAAAACTAGAATAGCGGCTGAAGAAGCTGCAGCTGTTGCAGCTGCAGTAGTTGCAAGTGCTACAAATACGTTAGTAAAATGTTAAAGTTTTATATTGTTTGATCATTTTAAATATACTTCTATTTATTTTTTATGTATTTTTTTTTTCACAGAATAGTTCCAGTAGCTATACAACATTTGTCTCCAAATATTAGCACTTTATCGCAAACAAGTACGCCCGAACCTGGAGGAAAATCTGCTATTGAACAAGCTATGGCTGCAACACTTGCGGCTATAAATATTCCAACTCCACCTACAAAACCAGATGAAGATAGTAATTCCGCGAAAGGATCGGCAAATGATAGCCGAACGAGTACACCTGAACCCAAAATGCAATTCAAAGATAAAAAGGAAGCAATAGAAGCATTTAAAGAATTATTAAAGGAAAGAGATGTGCCATCTAATGCTACATGGGAACAAGCAGTAAAATTGATTCAAAATGATCCAAGATATCCACAGATGAAGAAATTAAACGAACGTAAACAGGCATTTAATGCATATAAAACACAGAAACTTAAAGAGGAACGGGAACAGGAAAGATTAAGGTAAATATATAGATATAAATATATATAGATATAAAATATATATATATATATATTTTGATTTGAAATTTATGAATATAATTTTAAAGTTGCAAGTTTTATCGACAGATTAAAAAAAGCCAAAGAAGATTTAGAACAATTTTTATTAGAAAACGACAGAATGACAAGTACTACTAAATATTACAAGTGCGAAGAAATGTTTGGTAATTTGGAAATATGGAGAGCAGTAGGAGATCCAGATAGAAGGGATATTTACGAAGATGTTATATTTAATTTGGCAAAACGTGAGAAAGAAGAGGCAAAACAATTAAAGAAAAGAAATACCAAAAGACTGGCGCAAGTTTTAGATACAATGACAGATGTCACGTATAGAACCACATGGCAAGAAGCACAAGCATTGCTCTTACAACATTCGGCCTTTGCGGAAGATGCAGATTTGCTTGAAATGGATAAGGATGATGCTTTGTTGGTATTTGAAAATCATATTCGACATTTGGAAAAGGACGAGGAAGAGGAAAAGGAACGTGAGAAAAAACGGAGAAAGAGACAAGAAAGAAAAAATCGTGATGGTTTCATTGTAAATACACGTTTACCTTGTTTGAACTTAATTTGTTTTTTTAGTATATGTAATTTCTTATTGCATAACATATATTTTAGAGTTTATTGGACGAGCTTCACGAACAAGGAAAACTAACATCCATGTCTCTTTGGGTAGAACTATATCCTATGTTATCGGCCGATTTACGTTTTTCAGTTATGTTAGGACAACCAGGATCAACTCCGTTAGATTTATTTAAATTTTACGTCGAAGACCTCAAGTCCAGATTTCACGATGAAAAAAAAATTATTCGAGAGATTCTTAAAGATAAAAATTTCGAGGTACAAGTTAATACTACGTTCGAAGAGTTTGCTACGGTTGTTTGTGAAGATCGAAAGTCGGCTACTTTGGATGCGGGAAATGTTAAGCTGACGTACAATTTGCTTCTTGAAAAAGCCGAAGCACGAGAGAAGGAACGTGTTAAAGAGGAAACACGAAAATTCAAAAAACTAGAAACAAGTTTCAAGAATTTATTAAAAACTATCAATGTCGATTATCAAATGACATGGGAAGATGTGAGAAATAAACTGGAAGAAGAGCCAGATTTTAAAGCGATAACATTGGAAAGTGAAAGAATAAGAATTTTTAAGGACTATCAACATGAACTTGAAGAAAGTTGTAGTCATCATCATATCAGGAGTAAAAAGAAAAAGACGAAAAAGATGAAACGAAAATCTCGATCTCGGTCTCATAGCGTACATATAATTTTTATTTTATATACATATATATATATATATATATATATATATATATATATATATATCTTTGTTTATGTAAAATATTAACACATCCTATTATTTAATAGGAGTCTGAAGGTAGTGAGAAAGGATTGAAAAAGAAACGGCACAAATCACGTTCTGCAAGTATAGCTAGTAAAACAGATAGTTCTGAATCTGATACAAGAAAGGCGAAAAGAAAGAAAAGTAAAAAGAAAAGAGGTCGAAGCCATTCCGTAAGTTATATAACTTAAATAATATATTTTTTATTTAATACATTTTTTTTTTCTTTTTTTCCCTACGAAATAAAATATTCTTTATATACGTGTGATTTGTAGCGTTCACACTCAAGACTACCGTCCTCCGAAGAGTCCCCAGAAAGAAGACGAAAAGAAGATAAGCATAGAAGACCGTCTGTTCATAGCGAAGGATCTATTAATGAAAATACAGAACATCATGAACTTTCCGAAGACGAATTGGAAAAACAAAGAGCGCAACTTCTTCGAGAATTGCAAATGCAACAAGAAGATAATTAATACAACGATCAAAATAAAATCAATTCTTTTTGATAATTAAAAATATTGATTAACATTTAAAATTCACTTGGAATATTCGTCATTGATTTTCAATATGTAGCTATAATTCTCTACAAAAAAATATATATATTATATGTATGTAAGGAAATAAATTCGATACACTGACTCATTGAATTTATGGTTGTCAACCTCCTATAATAAAATTCGAATACATATTTATGTATATATATATATATATATATGAAATAGATATTGCTAATGCAGATGCTAAAATGCTATTTTTTATACTATTGGCAAGAAATGAGATAAGACATGCCCCTATTTATTTGCTTCCGTTATTTCAATTGGTTATTTCTTTGCATGCTATTAGGCGCAATTCAACGTCATAAATGGATGATAAATTTATTTATTTTATTAATTATAAAGAAAATCCAAATCGAAATATGTCTATAATTGGTAATTGTTATTAAGAAATAAAAAATTACAAAAACTAAAAAACTTAAAAAGATTATTTTTAACGAAATAAAAATGTATTTAGTTTGACCTTCTAGATTATTTACATGTTAGTATCGATATTATTTTAATGTAATTTATTGCGTTTTAAAATTCTTGAATCACAAATAATGAGTACATATATACATGTATGTACTTTTATAGCATAGACTGTGATGCATAAACATATGTACATAGATAAAATAAACGAAAACAAACTATATGTAAAATCATATTACACAATTATTTAAAAAAAGGTTTTGTTTTTATTTTTATTATTTCTTTATTTTGACAGCGACAATTCGAAGGACATTCGACCTGTACAGAAATTACGATGGAATAGTTTCCAATAGTATAGATTTGCTCAAGATATTATTAGAGGAGAATAGTCGTCGGATTAGAGAGAGAGAAGTTATTGACAAATAAATGTGTGTGTGTGTGTGTGTGTGTGTGTATGTGTATTTATATATATATATATAAATTTTTAATTGATCGAAGAGGGAATAACGAGAACGCTAAAATGTCTTCTTTCACGTAACGTTTATCGAATTATTCTCGTTGTCGACGATAGCCCCATTTTTTCCTCTTTCTTTTTTTTTTTTTCTTCTAAAATCAAGCGCATGCGTCGAATTTATTGTAATTTGGTAGTACCCTTGCTACGGCCCTGCTTTTATGCGACCGAATTTACAAGGAGTGGGGTTTGCGAAGGTGGTTAAGTTTACCATTTGTCCGATGATTGCTGTTGTCGCCTTTCGTGATTCCGGAGGTTCGTTTCGTTAAGAGAAAGAAAAAAATAGAGAGAGAGAGAGAGAGAGAGAGGGATAGAGACAGGTAAATGAATTTTGTCCTTCGATTTGAAAACTCAAGTAAGTCAATTTTGTCGAACGAACGAAGAAGATAGAGAAGCAAAGGGAAGTCCCAACGAAGAGAAGAGAGAAAGAGATAGATATACGAATAGAGATAGAGATAGAAAGAGAGAGAGAGTGAAAGAGAGAGAGAGAGAGAGAGAGAGAAAAAGAGAAAGATAGAACGTGATCGAGAGCGAGAGTGAGAGAGGGGGCGTTTGAGTAAGTGGAAAGGGAGAAGGGCCGAAGAGCTACAAAGAGCACAATGTTGAATATCTGTCGTCAAGTTTTTATTACAAATAGCCAAAAGTGAGTAAAATCATAGGGAAGAAATTTCATTGTCCTTGAATAATGGGATCCGCCTATGACATGCTTTATTTCTTTTTTCTCACCTTCTAACATATCAGATACTAAAATATCAGAGAATATATTGATTATTTTCGCGCATTGGCCCGTGTGCTAAGGTATTTTAATGTGTGTCCAATGTTTCATCTACGTATTTATGTGGTGTATGCACGAACATATGCATCCTACGCACGTTCTACATGCATCCTATGTATCTTTCGTATGCTTACTGTATGGTCATATCGACAAGAATAATTTTCTATTTGTTTGTTGTTTGTTTCAATGAGCTTATACGTGTGTGCGCGCGCGCGCCTGTTACGTAGTGTTGAAAAGGTTTACGAACAAATGTTGCGTACGCAAGCATTTCAAAAATCTTTCTTAGATGTTTACTGTACATTAATAGCCTCTTCTTTTTTTTCCGTAATATATTTTTAATTTTCATATATATATATATATATATATATGTATATATATATATATGTGAGAAAAAAGAAGGTTCTATATCCTTCCACGATTTAAAAATTTTCCATTCGACAAAAACGAATCCGACGTTCGAATGGGTCGTTGACCAATTAGCTCTCATATGTTGCATTTCATAGTTTCAATGTATATATATATATATATATATATACAAATATATAAACGTATTTATTTCAGTGAAGAATATGCATGTACGTAATTTCAAATTAGGAATCATCTACGTCCTGCCTTTTTTCTCTTTCCTTCTTTTTTTTTCCCCCTCCCCCTTCCCCGCCTTCCCTCTAAACATTTTTCAATCTATCTCATAACTGTCAATTAACTCGCCCATTCAGATTAATTTGGCCTGTCAATGATCTTTTACTCTCTCACGTTTAATAAAAACCTTTTTTTCTTTTTTTCTTCCTTTTTTTTCTTTTTCCTAAACTTTTTTGAAATCTTATTAATAAATTGTACGTAAAAATGCATTAGAAGTTTTTTTTGCGTTAGATATGAATTTTATCGTGGAAAGAAGGAAGGCATTCGTGAAAGTGATAGCGATTTTATCCTTGAACGGTCGTTTTCATGATTACACGGCTTTCTTTAACATCTGTTATCGAGAATATTAATTTTGTCGCTTATCTCGAATTAATTTGCTATTGCCTCATTAGCAGGTCAAGTTTTATTTGAAATTCCATTCATTTCCGTATAAAATATATTCAGTTTCCTGTTTTTTTTGGCTCTTGATATATCGATACGCGATACGTGATGTCACGCACGTATATATAATCACATACACATACACATATACACATACATATATATACATATATATATATATATATATATATATCTGTTCGACGTTTCGCTCATACATCCGTACTGTTTCTTTTCTTTAATTTTTTTATTTTCCTTTTTTATCTTTTTTTTATCAGTAAGGTTAAAAAAAATATATATTCAATGCATTAACAACGATAAAAATAAATTATGCTAATCGTCCTCTTGTATGACTATAGCTTGAAACTCATTGATTATTTATTTTCATTTTATCTTGTCATCATTTTAACAAACGAATATGTTATTAATATTATTATCCATATTATTTTATATGTGTTATTTTTAGAGAGATAATCCTAATAAAAAGGGTCACTAAGTATATTATGTTATGTAACAGTCTGACCACAAAGTATTTGACACATAAACGTTAGTAAAAATAACATCATCCTGTACCATTGGATTTATATTTATGTGATATTTTATAATTTTCAAGTTTGATGTGTTTTTGATAAAATTCGTTTTCTTTTTTTTTTCTTTCATCTCAATGTACTTTTTTTTTAATGCAAATTTTACTTTTTAATTTCAACTTTTCTTACTTTATACGTAGCTTTTAAATTCCAGTTGGATTAATCAGCTTTTGTGGAATTAATCTTGTTGAGATAATACTGTGAACAGAGTGTCCCAAGTTATGTGTCTGTACACAGATAAATATTTAAAAAAGATATCACCCTGCTTTAGGGTCAATATTTACTTATATTTTATCTTTCTTTGTGACAAGAAGATAATTTTATTCAGAAAACAATCATGCATATTTATTTTCTTCTTCTACTTCCGTCTTTATTTATTTTATATTATTATTTGCAGAGTAGGTAAAAGATGTCTAGGATCTATAGTGCCTCTACCAAATCCTCCCGATGTACCATTGGAGAACGAACCTATTCTAGGTTATACAAAAGGAAGCAAGGAACGGGCCGAATTAGAGAAGGTCTTGGATGAAATGGCAAGTGAATGTACCGAAGTGCCATTAGTGATTGGTGACAAAGAAATTAAGACGGATTTGTGCAAATATCAAGTTATGGTACGCATAATTATGTATAAATATATTACATCATAAATTTATAATAAAAAGGATAGATCTTATAAATTACATTACTTTGTAGCCACATAACCATAAAGCTAAAATTGCTAAATATTATTGGGCTACGCCAGATTTAATACAGAAAGCTATCGACGTTGCTGTGAAAGCTCAAAGGGAATGGGAGAAGTGCCCTATTGAAAAACGATTAGAAATATGGTTAAAGGCTGCTAATCTCATGTCAAAGAAATATAGACAACATTTAAATGCTGCCACTATGCTTGGACAGAGTAAATCTGTTATTCAGGCGGAAATTGATAGTGCTGCTGAATTAATTGATTTCTTCAAAATACAAGGATCTTATGTTAAGGACGCTTTGAAATATAAACCGATTTCACCGAACAAAACTGTATTAAATTCATTGAGGTATCGTGGAATGGACGGTTTTATTGCTGCTGTATCACCTTTCAATTTTACTGCTATTGGTGGTAATCTTAGTTATACTCCAGCTTTAATGGTTTGTATCTTTTTTTAATCTTTCTAGATTGATTAACGTAAAAAAATTCGCATGAGTAAATTTGATTTATTTTCCTATCATAATTTTATATAGGGAAATGCAGTTTTATGGAAACCATCAGATACGGCTTTGCTTTCCAATTGGTGGATCTTTAAAATATGTAGAGAAGCTGGTGTACCACCAGGCGTTGTGAATTTTGTTCCTTGCGAAGGTCCAGTTTTTGGAGATACGATAACTGCTTCCCCTTATTTGTCTGGTATTAACTTCACCGGATCAGTACCAACATTTAATCGTTTATGGATGCAAGTTGGTAAAAATTTGGGAAAATATAAGAATTATCCAAAATTAGTAGGAGAATGCGGTGGTAAGAATTATCACTTTGTTCATCCAAGTGCCGACGTACAAACGGTGATTATCGCGACAATAAAAAGTGCTTTCGAATTTAATGGTCAAAAATGTTCAGCATGTAGTAGAATGTATGTTCCTGAATCTTTATGGTCTAAGGTAATATATTAAACAATTATTAATCATTTTACGAATTAAATGTTTCTTCATATATTGAAATTGATTTCAGATAAAGGATGGTCTTTTATCGACACGCGATCAACTTAAAATAGGCGATATTAGAGATTTCTCTATTTTTACTGGGGCCGTTATCGATGCCACGGCGTTTAAAAGAATTTCTGGTTATATCGAGCATGCTAAAACGTCAAGTGACTTAGAAATTATTGGAGGTGGTCAATACGACGACAGGTAAATTTTACAAATCGTTATTATTAAACAATTGGCTGAAATACATGTTTTCTTTTTTTAATCAAAAAAATTCATACTCTCTCAAAGCACCGGATATTTCATTCAACCGACGATAGTAACGACAAAGAATCCAAATGAAAAAATCATGACGGAAGAAATATTTGGACCTGTATTAACCATTTATATTTACAAAGATTCGAAACTCGATGAAACGATGAAATTGGTCGAAACTTCGACCCCTTATGCATTGACAGGAGCGGTATTTACCCAAGATGAGTAAGTTTTATTACGTAATTTAGATATCTTAGGATAATACAGAATGGGAACAAAATATGATAAGTTCATGTAAACAATTTTAACACAATTTTAACAGACAATGGGCGAGAAAAGCATTGGAGGAACTCAAATACACAGCAGGTAATTTTTATGTTAATGATAAATCTACTGGATCGGTTGTTGGCCAACAGCCTTTTGGTGGCGGCAGAATGTCCGGTACGAATGATAAAGCCGGTGGTCCTCATTATGCTTTACGTTGGTCATCACCTCAGGCAATTAAAGAAACATTTATTCCTTTGAAAGAATATGATTATCCATACATGAGGTCGTAAACACTCGAGTGTTTAAATGTCGATTTAAATAATATAATAATACAAATATAGGTCCGCGCGCGTGTATCGCTGAGCGATTATATCGCACTTCAAATTGAGATGCGATGCCGAATGTCTATAGTTGTAAAAATAATGGGATCGTCTCGTGCATTTCTTAATGTGGATAAGTTTAAATATACGAGTAAATATCGCTAGTTAGACTTGCGAGGCAATCTCGATTTGTTTTTGGCGTATTTAAAAATCAATTTTTTGAAGGCTGTAAATGTAAATAACAAAGTATGATCCTTAGAGAGAGAGAGAGAGAGAGAGAGAGAGAGAGAGAGAGAGAGAGAGAGAGAGAAAGAGAAAACGAGAGAGCGAGAGAGAGAGAGTTATTACGTGTATGTAGTTTATGCCTACATATAGTTACGTTTATAATACGTTTACAGACTTTGATAATATATATATATATATATATATATACCCACACACACACATATATATAATATATATACGTATATGATATATATATATATATATACATAGTCGATCTTGTGTTCTGCAAAACAAGAGAAATGAATTCTTTTACGTTTAAAATATTTTAGCAGACATAGAAATATCGGCTCGATGTGTTCTCTAAAATAGGCTTCGATAATGCCATTAACAAAGCGTATAAATGTAATTTATATTATTGCATGTAATTTAGAGCTTTCTTATAAATACATCAACGCCTCAGGAAATTATCACAAAGTGAATAAAGATGTTAAGGTAGCCTTATTTTCAAAGTTACTATAGTTCAGGGCACGATTCGTGGGTCAGAAATGAGTATACGTTATAATATTTATATGATGCGAAAGAGGAATGCAAATTAGCTCTTTGAAATAATTTTCAAAATTGCTCAAACGAAAAGAACAATTATTAAATCATTTATCTTTATTCTTTTCTTTTTTTTTTTCTCTCTCTTATTTTCTGACGTACGAAGTTAATATGATGACAAGATTCGTATGTGACGGAGATTTATTCGTAAGGATTGTTAAAATTTTCTAATTATAAGTCATACGTTATAAAGATCGATTATTTAATCGATGTGTTGCAGTATTTTTATTATTTGGTTTATAATTATATAGAATTTAAAAACGACACATCTTTTTCAAGCATTTGGATACTGCTGTTATGTAGAAAATTTGTGTTGCTCATATATTTATGTGATATATTTATACATAAATATGTATCATGTGTATATATATATACATATACATATATATGTATGTATATATGTATGTATGTATGTATGTATATATAACAAATACATTTCTTAATATGTAGTTCAACGAGCAATTGCTAGTGATATTTTATTCACAGAATTACTTTGATAATCTGAACAGTATAAATATTGGTGTTAGCACATATAAATGGCTAATAGTTATTGAGTATATCATTAATACAATGTTCAACACAATATAATTGGTTTTCTTTTATGATCGGCGCCTTTTGTGATATATAATAATTATTATTATTATTATTATTATTATTATAAAATAGTAGATCTATGTAAAATAATAATTCTTGTAAGTCCTGCACAGCGGAAAGAAATTTCTGTAATCGTTATGCAACTGTTGTTTGTCTTGAATGTGATTTAATGGAGACCATTGGTCCCACGAGTCAAACAATCATCGTATACTTATCAATAAACAACTGAAGGTATACTAGGTACATTGACGGATGTTACGATGTAATTTATTTGAACTGTAAAATAGCAATAAAATGAAATGCTATTCACAACGCTCGCATATCGATTTCTTCTACTTGTAACATTGTGTTCAATGTTAATGATAATACGTCTGATAACTGATAAAAATTTTATAAACAAATGAAGCATAATATAAAATAAAACAAGATTTGGTTAGTCCAAGGAATGTTTAGAAATGAAATTTCACGGAACTGTGTATTATTAATTATATTATGTTTATATTAATGTAATCGTTATATCATGGTTATGTTATATGTGTTATATAACATAACATGAATAAAGGAAAATATGATTTTCAACAGACATGCTTCTTGAGATATTCACAAAGACAATAAATTTAATTGTTACATTAATTCAATAATTATCGAATATATAAATCGATTTTGAATTAAAGATTCGCGCCAAGATGATACTTCCGATTTGAGTAAGCGCTGATTGGTCGACGTATCACGTCACTTTAGATCGACCAATCGTTGTCGCGCTTATAAAATTTGCCTTTTCTGATTGGAAGATGGTAATTGTAATTTCTTGACAAATTATTTCCGTTTTGATTTCGATTATTCGTAACGGCCGAATACGAAATAAGTGATCTCGGGAAAGTGTTTTCTTTTAAAATTTCATTATTTTGTGATTTTCTTATATATATTAGTCTATTAAAAGTGATTATTATAGATTTTGAACATGATCATCGATAATTATCGAATATTCATTGAAAATTCGTACTAATTGGTAAATAATTAGAATTTATATTTCAAATATATATTTTTATCGTTTTTTTTTTTTTTTACTATTTTACAATTTCGCTAAAAAAAGCTCATCGTTGTTGATTTTTTGTCATTGCGTCAATACCATTATTATTTGCATTCATCTTATGAAACAAATCAGTCATATATTAAGAAATATCGATTATTTCATGTATTACATAATTGCATAATGAATTTTTCAGAAAATCAACCATTCTGTGGATCTTCCGGATTGACAATAAATTTTGAGATGCATCACAAGATTTTCATGATAATTCCATGTAAATCGTATCGCCAAGATCCGGATTGGTATAAGGTATTTATCAAAAAATTAATAGAATATTTGCTTAGACAATAAAAAGTTAATGCACGATAAGGACTAATACATTAATTACGATAAACGATATTTTTTTTTTTTCTTTAATCGAATTAACATTTTATAAAATATTTCGCGAGGTTTTCAATTCGAAATAAATTGAAATAGTTGTAAAAAGCAAACGTGCTATAAACTACAATTAAATTTATAATAACAAAGTCGTAATTACTACGTATCGATCGAATTAACATATAACTATTAGCATATAGAACGAATAAGTTTTAACCAATGGCGAATTTCGCTTTCAAGGGGGTCCGATAGGTTACAAATTTTAGGATGGCAAGCGGTGCGGGGGAGAGGGGCCGCGGTCCCCATTAAAATAAATCAATTCCGCAGGATGTATATTTTCTCGCTTGGACTATTCATGAAAACGATGAAGCGAGAAATCCACTGTACAAATTCAATTATACGTAGTCGCACAAATATAGAAATTAAAATTATATAACGGACCAGCAGATATTAAATTGAATTTATTATACGTGTAATATAAAATTTATATCGTCGTTTGGGGATGGGGAGTTGGGGGGGGGGGAGGAGTGCGCCCCCATGTCTCACGGGGCCCCGAGGCGAGCCAAGTGCGCCTCCCACCGCCTAGTGCGTGAATTCGCCACTGGCTTTTTCCCTCTCTCTCTCTCTCTCTCCCTCTCTCTCTCTCTGTCTGTCTAACCTATAAAAATTACTCGAAGGGATCGAAGCGGACGATCGAAATTACGAAAAAAAAACAAAAAAAAAAAAAGAAAAGAAAAAAGGACGAGGGATTATTTTTCAACAAAATGCTTTTAATATAATCAATAATAGAAATATCTTAATGGCTTTATTATAGATTTTTTTACTTATGGTTATGTGTTCACGTTCGATATCATATCGAATTCTCCGATAACTTTAAGACGTATTCAATCATGGCCGCGGCACGGCTTGTCCAAACCTGATTAAAAAATCGGCTCCGATCGATCGACTTAACTTTTTCTCCTGTTCGAATCTTCTATGAGAAGAGAAAAAACTTGGTCGGTTAAAGTGGTGTCGATTCGAGGTGTAGGTGGAGTAAGAGTAGGAGGAGGAAGAGGAGGAGGGTAGGTTGGGTTTGGGGGTGGGGGAGGGTAGTAGTCGAAGAAGGCGTCGGCAATGGTGGTCGAGGAAAAGGAGGAGGAGGAGGAAGAAGGAGGAGAGTGAGGGTGAATAGATGAGAGAGGGAGGTGGAGGAGAAGGATTGAAAGGCTTAGGGGAAGTCGCCGTTAATGGCTCGACCAGAGGATTTCCTGGCCTTCTTCCAGCTTTTTTACGAGTTTTTCGAGCGTTCAGTTCTGAAACGTTCACTCAAATCAAGATACTCACCTTTTCACGAATAGATGCTGTGGCTGAACTAACATCGTAGCCTCGGCTCCTCCTCTCACCTCCCTCCGTCTTTCTACCCTCCTCCTTCTTCTTCTTCTTCTTCTTCTTCTCCTCCTTCTCCTCTTTTCTGCCAGTAACTTCAAGCGACGCTTTTTTCCTTTCTTCATCCATCTTTCGTTACTCTCTCGTGGAGCCCTTTCTCGGGGCTACGTTTATCCTCTTGTTTTCTCTCTCTCTCTCTCTCTCTCGCTCTTTCTCTTCTTGACTTTTTCTAAACACTACTACCGCAGTAGTGGCACTATACTCGAGTGGGGGAGACTGAGTGAGTCAGAGAAAGAGAGAGGGTAGACTGACCAGATGTCTTGCTTTTTATCGGTCCGCTATCACGACGAATTTCTTCACGGAGCTATCGAGAGAGAAAGAAAGAAAGAAAGAGAGAGAGAGAGAGAGAGAGAGAGAAAGAGAGAGAACGATTTTCCTTTTCGAACGGAGAAGTAGTAAGCTCTTTTGTGAAAGAACGTAGTACCGATGATATGGCGTAGTATATAGGGTGAGAGTAAATCGTATCTTCGACAATCGTATCGATGAGAATTCAGAGGCCCATTACTATTCCTATAGAGCCAATCGAGGGATCGCTTTCATTATCTGCCTAATTTCTAAAGTTCGGGGTGTGAATATCCTGCAAGATCATGCGGAAGCGGGGTAAGGGGCGCGGATGGATGAAAGGGGAAATAGGACGGAGCAATGTAAAGCGATATGTGCGATACTCACTTTAACGTACGAGTGTTGTAAATGCGTATACACGTACCATACGTATGTACGGTTTCTATTTAATTGACAGACATTATACAGAGTTGAAATCGTGTAATTTGAAAATCAATCGGAATAATTGTCACCCATAGAAAATATCATTTAATTTGACGATTAGTCAGTTAGTTGATTGTAATATATTTTTTTTATTTTTATTAGGTATTTTATATATATATATATATATATATATATATATATATACATATATATACACATGGATTTTCCGCTTTTCGATAAAATTTTAAAACGAATCAAAACGACGAAGTTATACGTTGTTATGTGTATTGTACATTTATATCTATATATTATATGTATATATAATAATAATAATAATAATAATAATAATAATAATAATAATATATATTCGTATATGTATATAGTGGTATAGGCAGAGAGTCTCATCTAAATCCCATCTAATCGATATTTCATATCTCTCGTTATTTACATATCAAGAGAATTATATATATGGGTCATCATTCGTCGAGTTCTGCTCGCGCTCCTGAATAGTAGCTGGTAATGGATAAGCGGGAGGTCCCGCAGGATACCTTTGTAGGAATTGCGTCTATTTATTGATCGGCACGTACATTGGAATATTCAGCCTCGCTTTGCCCTCCACCAACCGATATTCCAAGCCTTCTCTCCTTCCCATAGGGCCTCTTCCTTCTACTCCACCCTTTCTCCTCCTCCTTTTCCTCTTCCTTCTCCTCCTCCTTTTCCACTTCCTTCTCCTCCTCCTATTCCTCCTTCTCTTCCTTTTTCCCATCCCCATCCATCTCGTCTTTGAATCGTCTTCGTTCATTTTCACAGAGCGACGATTTTCGTCGAATCGCGTCAGGATTCGTCGATTAATCGTCAGCGACTTTCGACTCTTTGTCGAGGATCAGCAACTTTAAATATTTCTTTCGATATAACTTATGACAACTCGAGACAATTTTCAATTCTTCTTTTGTCCTTTTTCGGTCGGTTCTTTTTTTCTTGGTCCTCAATAATTTAGAAAATAATATATACTTTCTTTTTGTCTGATAATTTGTTGAAATGAATAAAGAAAAGAAAGTATATCGTATAGGGATTTTTTTTTTTTTACGATAAAAACATTCGTTCAATTTTATCGACGAATTCGATCGATTTCGTTGGAATTAACTCGTAGTTCGATTATTATCATAATTATGATTATTAAAGCTTTTTACTATCGTATAGAAATTTTTTTGGAGGGAAAGAAAAGAAGACAAATTTTTTAAGATGCATTAAAAATGAATTGAATATTTAACAATTTTTATATATATATATATATATATATATATATATATATGTATAAAATAGCGATTGGTATCGTGTTAACGAATAAAAGAGTTTAACACGATTTTGCACATCGTAGAATGAAAATGGTGTTTCACGGTCTTCCGAAGAGGAAAACGATGTAAACGAGATCAGTGTCTACCATCTCTTCTCACTTTTCGTCCGAGACAGAAAGTTACGGCATTGTGATCAAGAATGTATCGCGCGTACTAGAAACGAGCTTTTCTAGGAGCAATTCTCTTGTAAGCTGCAAGTCTCGTAGACGCGTCAACGCTACGGCCTACATTCGAAACGAAATGTTCTTTTTATTCTTCGAAGCTAAAATAAGCGTACGTTTCTTCTATATACCTATTATTAAAAAAGAAGAAGAAGAAGAAGAAGAAGAAGAAGAAGAAGAAAAAAAAAGAACATTATTCGTAAAGACGTTTCCATAAATAATTATTATAATGTCATTAGTTATACATTTTTTTTCTTT